GGTTAAAAACCATAAAAACCATGATATATCACATCTACAGATACGCACCTTGAAATGTTGGAGCAATACCCATCTGGTCCTTTGAATTCATGTAGCCGACTGCAGAATATTTTCTTTTCTTCTTTGGACAACGACCACGTACGGTGCTGCAGGCAGATAGGTTCTCTTTCCTTGTGGTCTGGGGTGCAAATCCTTCCTGATCCCAAGTACTTGAAGATCTTTACGTGCATTGAGGCCGTCCTTTGATTTTCGACAATGTAGCAGTGTTGAAACTATGCTCGCGGCTACATTTCTCTCCACATGCATCACATCTAAGTTATGTCTTACCGGTAGTTCCTATCATTTAGAAAACGTTAACCATTTGAGTAATTGGAGAACTATATAATATTGAACACAAAAGTGTAAAAACTGAATTATTACCTCCCAGTAAGGAAGATTGAAAAAAATCGACCGTTTCTTCCACCTTGATAGCTCTTCCTCATCTATTTCGACTTCTTCCTCATCTTCAGACTCACTGTCGATTTCGTCACTATCAGAATTACACTCTTCGACGGGTAAAGTTTGTTTCCGTTTTCTACTATCCTCTTTCATATTCCCAAAGTTGTTTTTGTAATTCCTTAGAAGGGTGTAAATGTTATGACCAGTTAGTATCCGACCATGCCTCCCGTGCTCAGTTTTACCATCAAACCATGCCTTCTTCCCACGGTATTGATGTGTAGGTGACAGCCATTTCCTATGACCCATATAGACATGCCTTCTACTATTAGACAACCACATACTGTCGGTGTGTTTCCCACACAAAGGACAACCCATCTTACCTTTCCCTTTGCACCCTGCGAGATTCCCGTAAGCTAGTAGGTCACTAATGGTCCAAAGAAGCATCGCCTTCAAAGTAAAAGTGGTAGCACTTAGTGCATCGTATGTAAGCACGCCCTTCTCCCAAAGCTGGTTCAGATCATCTATCAGCGGTTCTAAGTATACATCTATACTATTTCCTGGTTGTTGCGAACCAGGAATCAACAAAGAAAGCATTATGTTCTCCTTCGCCATGCATAGATTAGGAGCCATATTATAATTAACCAAAAGAACAGGCCAACTGCTGTACCTTGTATTCTTCATGTTGAATGGATTAAAGCTATCGGTTGATAGTCCAAGCCTAATGTTCTTTTCCTCAGTGGCAAATGAAGGGAACTTGGCGTCCATATGCTCCCATGTTACTGAATCAACCGGATGACGAAGCTTTCCATCACTGCTCTTATTAGTACTATGCCACCGTAATTCTCTTGCTGTTGCCTCTGACCTAAACATCCTCTTCAGACGCGGAATAATAGGAAAGTATCTCAATACTTTCTGTGGGACACTAACCTTTGCTTCACCAGTGTGTGCATTGGTCTTCCATCGTGATGCTTTGCACTTGGGACAACTGTCTAGATTCTTGAACTTTTTTGTAAAAAGGCAGCAGTCATTAACACAAGCGTGTATCTTCTGGTAGCCCATGTCGAATGACTTGAAAAATTTCTTGACACATACAAGGATGTGTGAAGGACATTGTCTTCGGGCAACATCTTGGGTAGTGTCTCAAGCAGGTCGTTGAAACTCTTATCTGACCATCCATTTTTAGTATTAAGCCTGAACAGAGAGACAGCAGCGGATAGCTTACTGTGGTTTTCGCATGTAGGATACAAAGGGGTTTCAGCATCAGCTAGCCTTGCAAGAAACTCATCCTCTTTGTTGTCTAATCCCTCAGCAACATCAACATATTCAGATCTTTTAGCTAACTCTTCGTCTAAGTACTCTGCAGCCTGAAATAACACTAAAATCTCTTCATTCCACTCTCTACCCTTTATAGTATCATCTTCTGAATTTGCTGTAGCTTCACCGTGATGATACCAGTCACTTCTACGCTTGTAAGCCTCTTCCATTCCTCTTGTCACCAGATGATCGATTACATCACGAGTTGAGTGTCGGTCTACATTCCGACAGTGAACACAAGGACATACTATCATATCAGCACCTCCTAATGCAGAAGCAACTGCATTTACGAAATCGGAAGCACCTATCTCGTATGCTGGATCAGCTCTGAAAATCCATTTCGATGAAAAAGAAATCAAAATTAATCATGTAAACTACAAACCCCAGACCCTATAAGTAAATAACTAGATTTGAACTTTATACCTACAAAGGTTAACCCAGGCCTTGTCCAGCATTATCTGGTCTAATCTTTATGAAATTGTTAGCAGAACAAGTCAATCACAAGCGTTGTTGAAACATCAACAACACCCTGAAACATATGTATATTACGCGAACGAAAACAGCACTAATCTAACCAGTGCTCCTTAAGCAAGCAGACCATAAACACAAATGGACCCGTAGTTATAAAGTAGCTCGGTAAGAAAAAAAGTTCTACATGCAAAGGAAATCTAAACCCAGGTATTCAATTACAACCCTCTAAAGCAGTTATAATCACCTGTGAGACCGATTTCCTGACAAAGTCGGGTAGGAGTATGTTGTATCTTTCGTCTCGACCCTCTCTGCACCTCTTCAGCTTTAACTCCTAACCCTCGTGTCATAATAATGAAATTAAGTCAAGTCTAGCATATTTGATAGTGAAATCAAGCAGAAAGACAAACTTAATTTTAGGTTTCTAAGATTCTGAATCAATGTTACCTTTTAATCCAGGATTCGACCAAAGAGGTGGATGCAAATGGTCGAGATTCTTCTGGTTCAGCCGATGATGAGCAGATCGTACAGACCGGAGTAATTCGTGGAGGTATAGATCGAGTTAGTCGCTTTGTGACCGAGCCGTGAACTCGAATCGGACAAAGAGAAATCCCTGTCGAAAACCCTAGACGATGTGTTCTTTCTAATTTTTGTTTTCTGTTTTTATTATTGTTTATTATACTAACCCTTCATGTTTTAGTTGACCACACTCTTTTTTTGGCTAAGTGTTGGCGGGTTTAGATGTTTTATGCGAGCCAAAGTGTTAATTCAGCTTCTCGCTTAGCTTTTTTTGGTGTAACATTATTTTTCTGCTATTACAGCTTTGTCCGCTTCCGTTGACCGATTTTAATAGCAGTTATGAAAATTACGCTATGCAAAAGTGCTATCAATAAGCCATTTTCTTGTAGTGTATGCAGTCTACTGAACCCAACCGAAGCAATCAATACATGATAAATACTGTATATGAAGTCTACTAAAACCAATCATCAAAATGGAATCTACAAAGTTTATAGTGTTTACAGCCGTGATTAGATAAAGCCGGCGTCGAGAAAATGCAACCAGATCTGGGAAAAAAAACCTAAGTACTCAAAACCGACGGACAAAATTATAGGAAGATAGAAGAAATAGAGGAATAGCTAAGTATATATCTTCGGAAGACATCTACTAACCGTTTTGAGGCAGGAAATGACGTTAACCCCAAGCGGCGAAAGCAGATCTGCAAAAAAAATAGAACCCTAATTTCAGATCTGGACACTGGAGGTTACGAAAACGGAAAGGTGATGAATACGGAGGAGTAGGGAAGCATCGGGGTGTTGTTGGAGGAAGAAAACTTGCCTGAACGGGTTTATCGGCGGCGGTTCTGTAAGTCGGCGGCGCCGAAGAAGAGAAACAGAAATTGCCTTCGACTTTTTTTTTTAAAACACGAACATTCGACGGGTTTTCTTTTACGGGATCTGTAAAATTCCTTTATATCGTCTGGTAATTCTGTTCGGTTCGGGTAAGTTTTTTTCGGTTAGGGTTAATAATTTTACGGGGACTAGGTAAATTTACCCGGTTTAGGGCAGTTTTTCTTGGTTAGGGGAAGTTATTCCCAGTTTAATTTCGGTTTACATTTCGGTTAGGTTAATTTATTCGGTTTAGCATATTTCAATATAGAAGTCTACAACTTTTAAAACCTAAATAATAATTTTTTTTCTACTTAATTTAAAAACATAAATTTCCATTTAGCAATATGAAATTGTACATTTGGGTTACGATTACGGAATTTATGAATGTGAATTTGATACCAAAATAATTTTTTATAAATTTTAAAATTAAATTTCCAGATTTAATTACTTAGTAGATTTCATTTCGATAAAAGAAGTATACTATTAGACTTCTTTCTCCTTTCTTTCTTTAGTAGACTTCGTCAGGGTGTAAACGGTAATTAGGACATCCGTTTTTTGTTTACTTATATAGGATTAAATGGTCTTTTCACTACCTTTTTAGGTTATTTCTGCCAAATGTTTTTTCAAGGATCTATTTTTGTATTCAAAATCAAGTTTTAAGTTATTTTTAGCAAAAAACCTTTTGAATCTAATAATTCTTTGTTTATTAATTTTAGGAGATTTATTGGTCTTCATTTTCTTGCACTTGTTTATCAGCCACTGACCACATGGTCTTACATTTATATGTTTAGAATACTAGCTATAACTTATAGTTATTGTTCGTTACAAAATTTACTATATAAAACGAAAGACTTATATATTGGAATAAGTTCGCAGACATAATGTTTGGGTTTCAGACTTTATATGATTATATATGTAATTAATCTTTAGAAACGCGGGCTACCTACCTAATTTAATTAACAAAAAGCCCTAAAAAACCTAACAAAGAAACCGCGATAATCCTGGTCTAAGAACACAATGAATTTTTTGTTTGCAAATTTCAAGTGTGATTCATCATCTTAACCATGAGGCCTTTAAATACACCAAGGAAAATAATTGATCCTACAAATATAGAGATAAAAAAATGGAAAGTGGAAAATGGGAAAGTGGAGATTAAGTCCTATGATTCAGCAGAAATTAAAAGAATTAATTAACAATAAATTGTATTTCATCACCATGTCACTTCTCCCTCGTAGAAGAGGCTTTGGCACCTCGCTCAGCCCTACAAACATGCTCTACAACTCGGATTTGACAAGCTCTGGATAAAATCAGACTCCATGGATCTGCTCAAAGCCATCACAAGAGCTCTATGGATTACTCCTTGATATCAAACTCTATCTTCTAGATTTGCATTTATCTCATTGAGTCCATTTCTTGACTCTCTCCTATCCTTAATTTTTCGGATATGAGACACTCTTTTAGATCATTCACAACTCGAGACATGTTCGGTCTTCTTGCTGAAATAAGACTCACACATGACATTGCTAATTCAATAGCCTTCCAGGCAGAGCCAATGTCGTAATCTCGATGGATGTTTGGATCCACAATATTTCCAATCTCACCCTTTCTTATCTTACATTCGACCCATTCGACTATGTGAGGCTTTTCACGAGATTGCTCAATTATGGGTCGGTTTGTGATAATTTCCAATAGTACAATTCCAAAACTATATATATCACTTTTTTCTGTCAACCAATTTGTTTGATAATACCTACAAAACAAGATATGAAAGATTTATAGCTCTTAACTATCGATAGGGATGCTGCATATTTATATAGTAACATAACATGTATAAACTAAATACTCACTCAGGATCAAGGTAGCCGGGAGTTCCAGCAACAACTGTTGATACATATATTTCATTTCCGTTAGGAAATGATCGTGAAAGCCCAAAATCCGCTAATTTAGCTTGGAAACGCTCATCCAAAAGTATGTTTGTACTTTTTATGTCTCGGTGAACCATTGGTGGTTTACATCCAGAGTGCAAATACTCCAATCCTATGAAATATATATAAATGTTCTGACAACGTAATCATTGAATGTAGTATTTCATAAAGAGTCTTAGGATTACTATCCATTGCATCCTATGGTAACATATAGTTTCCTCGCTGATCCATTCGAGGAAAACTAATACCGAAAACCACAATCAAGAACTAAATAAATTTTCTTAAACAATAATGAATAAAAGGTTAGTGTGTACCTAGCGCTGCATTCACAGCTATGTTTAGTCTAGTTTCCCAGCTCAAGAAAAATCGGCCACGCTTTCCTATATATAAAAAAAATTCCAGATTGCTCAAATTGTGATCTTTATTTAAAATAATTCTTAAGCCATCACGGGTTATTTACCTGACAAATGTTGCTTTAAGTCTCCGTTTGGCATGTACTCATAAATAAGGGCCAAATGGTCTCCTTCATCACAATACCCAATAAGACTCACCAAATTTATATGGTGCACTCTCATAAGCAATTCCACCTAACCGACTGATCCATCAGCTAATACTCTTGTAATAGTAAGAATAAGAGATATATAAACATAAATTTAATCATCGAGCAAAAGAGTACCTCTGCTTTGAAATGCTTATAGCCTTGTGATGATGACTGGGAGAGAACTTTAACAGCTACTTGCTGTGTACCATTTACACAACCGTGATAAACGACTCCAAAGCCTCCTTCACCGAGAGCTCTTTCAAATTTATTTGTCATTTGTTGAACCTCAATATAAGTGAACCTTATCTTTTTCGATAGGAATGATAATTCTGAGTGACTAGTGTGCCCAACATCTGCTACGGGCATACCTGGTGGAGCAGGTACATCTACACAGTAAAATGTTTGGTTTTGCAATATATATTTTATGAATTCTCTCTAATGATTATATGGTTATGAGAAGTACCTGAAGGCACCTTCTTCTTTCGGAAAACAAAAATAAGAGCCACGACCATCACTATAACAAGCAGAGAGGCAGCTGATGCAATAGCCGGAAACAAGAAATTCTTTTTCTCTTTTGGATTGCATAGACTAGATTTGCACAAATCTGGATTTCCTTCAAGTCTATAAGGAACGTTAGATATATTGAAGTACATAACCTAAACTCATGTATGTCCTAAAATATGGTTTCCTCTTCTTCTACAGATCGTATTAATATGTACTTGCTATGTCTTATCTTCAAATCCCAAGTATTTTCTAAGCATTGTAATTTCTGAACAAGAGCTACCATATCTACCCAATTTCTATATAACTAACAAAATGATATCATGAATGGGAAAAAAAAAAAAGAACCTTACTTTAACATAAGTCCTTCCTTTACTCTATCAAGAAGAGCCTGAGGAACTGATCCATTGAGATTATTCCCACTTAAGTTTCTGTTGAGGCAAAGAAAACATTTATCTGTATGTGTGTGTGTGTGTGTGTTATATTATACACAGTCAAAATGTATATACATGTTCACAATAAAAAGTTTAAAATGTTCATTTTGCTTTCGATTGAATAAACTTACATCAGAGACAATAATTTCATATTGGCAAGAAAAGCAGGCACATGTCCAGTCAAGCTGTTATTAGATAAGTCCCTGCACACGCGTACAAATATATGAAAAGTTGGCTCACATGTCGCTGCCGAGCAAATCCTTCTTGGTTTGGTGAGTCTAGAAAAATTAAAACTTACAGTTCTTGTATTTGCGTTAGATTTTGTAAATATGGGGGTATGCGACCAGTTAATCCACTTGCTGACAAGTTTCTAATTATGCAATCACAAATAAATAAAAAGACTTAATACACTAGTTTTAAATTATGAAATGGGTTGTTAATGGCCTTACAAGGAAACAATTCTTGGTGGGGTGGAGAGATCTATGTAAGAGCATCTTAGTTTTTCCCAGGATAATTCTTGAGGGAGACACGGATCTCCTTGCCAACTAATGATACCCATACGATAAGTAGCTTTGATGTTTTTGATAGCAAAAACTAACAGAAACAGTTAGAGATTGAAAAGTTTTAGTAGCAGATGTGAGGAATATAAATTTATGCATAGTAACAAGTGAAAGTTTGCGTAAAGTACTGTCACTTAGGTTTGTTTCCAATTGTGGGAATTCGATAACAGTGTACGCCTCGAGAGCGTTGATCAAAGGTGGAAGAGTTGAGTTTGGAGTTCGTACTAGCTGTAAATTGCAACCGTCGGAATCACATTGTACCGGTGCAGCAGTGTATAATGTAAATGCCTCTAACAGCTTGGGTATTTTGAAACCTGAGTGATTAAAGTTTCCTTTCAAGACAACGTCGAATTCCCTCCTCTCATTGGCTTGGAGGGTTTGTATCTCGGCGAAGTGCATGTATATATACACTTCAGCATTAGAGGGTTTAGGTGTCCAGGTGATGGTTAATGGCTTACTAGCGTTTGTAGGCGTGGCAGCACTTTTGAGTACACTTTTTGGTACCACAAATGTATCTGAATTGTTTATATTAAGGCTGGTTGTTATCTGCGTAAATGAAGGGCTGAAGAATGGAGTCCAAACACGATCATAGACGTCATCAACATACCTGCAATCAAATTGTATTAGCGAAAAGTAATTAAGCAAATGAACCCTTATTGCTACTCTATCAAAAACCAGGATATATTCTTTAACGAATTTCATTTCGAGGGTAAGTTGGGATCTAACGTAATATTAAACTAATTTAGAATACTCCACTGTCTCCACTTATTCTCAATGGATTTTGAGCAATATAGCATATCTTCACACGCATATCATTTTTAGTTTCCATTTAAACAATATTTGTAGAAACAAAGATGGTTATATATTAAATTACAAAAAATAACATGATTTGATGAATGTTCTTTTCTTTTTTCTTTTGTATGAAGGTACTTGCAATCGTTTGTTGTCCGGGACTCCGGGTTAAGCCCAAAAATATATTTTCTTTATTAAAAAAAAAAAAAAACTGAAGGCATGTCATGATTCGTGCCAGAAAACTCTCACGTCCTGTTTTAAAAAAGTTTTTAAACAAGGTCGACTTACCTTATCTCCCTTTCCGAATTGCTACAGTAGACCCGAAAAGAGTTGCTAAGTGAGCCCGAATAGGTAACATAAGTATCATTTTTTAGTGGCCGTAGTTCTATAGCTGATATTATTGGTGAGGTTGCTCCTGTTTTAACAAGACAAATATCCAAAGAGTTTGATCTAGCTTTGTGTATGATCTCCTCGTCTGTACCATTTTGTCTTCCTTCCATATCTATTGTTGTCCACTTATCAGGACCAAGATAAAGATCGAAATTTGGATAAACGTTAAGACCATCATAATTTCCATATATGAAAGTAATCAAGATGAGATATCGTGTGCCACGCTTGACACTCAGACTATAGCAGTTACGTTTTCCTTTGGGAAAGTATCTCAGAGTCAAATATGGTTTTCGGAATCTTTTGTTGAATTCTTTATCGACTCTACCATTTTTTCCCGTCTGGATAAATGTGGAATCCGATGTAAATGTTAATCCAATTGACGGAACACTATAAGGAGATTCCTCAATAGGAAGTCCGCAATCCAGACTGATGAAACCTGTTCAAACATAAAAAGAGTGAAATGGAACTAAGAAAAAAAAATATAAAGATATTTCAAGTTTCATCCATGATGTACACTTCAGAAGATGTTTATTACCTTCTTGATTCTGGCCTCTAACCATAAGGTCCATAACGGCAAAGGTTCCGATCATAGCCAAGAAAAGACGACTCTTCATCTTCTTGAAAGGTTCCTATGTATATAAGGAACAAAACAAAGACTTGCTTCGTGAAAAAAAAAATGAAAGCTTGTATTGAGAAATATATCATATACACGATGGAGGAATAGTGCATTAAAAAAAGCAACTCTGGTTAAAACATTAAAGATTGGAGAATTTCATTGACACATTCCATGGTAAGATCGTGGAACCAACCCAGTTGATGTTGAATCCAGTAGTCTATGTTCACGAGACTCGTCAGATGTAGGAATATTTCCTTCAGGAATGAGTTAATACATAAATAGAAAGTCAACTCAGAAAATAAATATATAAATTCGTAATTTGTAAATTTCATCGATACATTCCAACCCAATATATTGGTCGCATGTATTTTTAAGGTTTCTCTCTTGTTTAAACAAAGATAACATCAGGTGCTTAAATAATCACCTTGTCCCACAAGTTGGATAAATGTACATAATTTTAAAAAGTCCACTTGAGACGTGCTGGGACGAATTATACACAAACTGGTTATATTGGATAGCCACATCACGTATAGAAAATCAAAATATTCTTCCATATATATCAGATAGCCTTTTTAACCAAAGTTTGTATGTTAACTTGAAAATGAATTGTCAACGCTACCTTTTACTGGCATTGAGCGTTGTGGCTTTTGCCAGTGTACATCTTATTCAAGCTCAGCCTGATCAACTAGGTACTTTTTATACATCAATTGTTAAATTAAGTTTAATTTCCTTCATCTTCCCTGTTTGACATATAAATAATGAATGAGGATTACTCATGGTTGTAGTTAAGTGTTCTCGTTCTGTCTGTCAAGATCACTAACTTTTTGGCATATATACTCACTATAGAATACACATGATAGCTATAGATCTAGAAAAATTAGTTGGTTTGTAAAATTGAAAGTTTTCTCTCTCATTAACAGTTTTGATTGTTTCTCTTGACCTTCATATTTATCAAGAAGAAAAACACTATTGCACTAATATTTTATGTATCGTCAGGATTCATCAGTTTGGACTGTGGTTTACCACCTTCTGAGTCTCCGTATACCGACTCAGTAACGGGATTAATATACACATCTGATGCGGATTACATCCAAAGTGGTAAACGCGGTGTAGCTGAGGATGATGTTATGTATGCCTACAGGCAATACAAGGATCTAAGATATTTTCCAGATGGAATACGAAACTGCTATGATTTGACAGTAAACAAAGGAATTAACTATCTAATAAGAGCAGGTTTCGCATATGGAAATTATGACAGCCTTAATGTGTCTCCCAAGTTTGATTTACATGTGGGCCCTAACATGTGGATTGCAGTGGATTTGGAACCGGATTTGTTGGAATCCAAAAAAGATCATGAGATCATTTACATGACAAAGTCTAACTTATTGCAGATTTGTCTTGTTAAGACAGGAGCAACTATACCAATGATATCAACCTTGGAAGTACGGCCATTAAGAAATGATTCTTATATGACACATCTCGGTCCCTTGAACCTCATACAACGGAAGACCTTTAGAGATTCTGACAGCTTTCTACGGTATGTAAAGTCACAGTTTAGTATTCAAGTTTGTTTAGGGAATGTGCTTGAATCATAGATATTCACCAATAGATAATACAATTCATAAATGAATATATATTTTTTTTTTTTTTTGAATAAATTTTTTATATTATTAGATTTTCGCTGAATAGATTATTTTGTTTTTATTGATCAGAGATGAAAATATCAAGTGAAAATTATTGTATAGCTATAAATTCTGCATGTACTAAATGTTATTCGTTTTAAAAATATATTATTTTGTATAAATTCATCCCATGTGATATCTAAAAATTATATTCTTAGAATAATAAAAAGAAAAATAATAAAGTAAATGTGCCATATATACATAATATTATTCATAATTTGCTAAAAAGGAAAATATACTATTTAAACACTGTTGAATTTTATTTAATACTATTTTACCGTTACATACCCGAGCTTCCTAGCTAAATCTTTTTCACTTTCTTCTTATCTTCCTTATCTTTTTCTTCTTCTTTCTTCTTCTTTCTTTCTACGTTTCTCCACAAAAATTTGACTGTGAACTTTTTTGTTGTTTGTTTCTCTTCCTCAAATATTCCAATGCGTATCTGCTCAGCTATTGTTCTTCGAACTTCAGATTTCTCTGGTTCGATTTCAATTTTCTCGAGAGAACTAATCAAAATTGCTGATCTTATCTAAATTAAAATTATTTTAGTTTCATCTCTTCTCTAAAATTATGTATCTGCTGATATAAATTAGAAATTCAATTTCTCTAAAATTATGGATCTGAGACTGAGAGAGAGATTGTTGAAGACGGAGATCTCGATGAGTTACGTTGAAAAAATATTAATTTGAAAGTTAACAATCAACAAATGTTAATACCATCTAACAAATGTTTTGATATATATCTAATTTCCACTTAACATGTTAACTATATTATTACACCAAATATAACAACTGAAATTAAACATGCTACCAAATTATATAGTTTCATAACATGTTGTGTAATTGTATAACTTATATGTTAACATATATGAGATTAAAAACAGCTTTAAAGAATTATTTAGACTGCTAACGTTTAATATAACTGTATAACGTATATGTTAATGGGTTTTGATATAATCAGTTATCGAATCAAATATAGCAATTAGAGGTGTCAAAGAATGCAAAAAGAAATTTGTTTCAAGAATCCAGACACTTACCATGCTAACAAAGTATATAGCTTGATAAGATTTTATGTAATTATATAACTTATATGTTAAGTAAAGAAGAATAATGAGAGAAAATTTCCAGAGCGGTAATATTTTGTGGTTCCCAAAAGTCTATAAACAGACCTATACTATCTACAAGAATCTATAGAGGTCGATATTATCTTTCTCATGTCATTTAAATTAAATCAAAAATAGGGTTAGTAAAATAAGGAAAGTCAGCTTGAGAGTTTTTTTCGTAATCTACCACCATTTCGAATTCAAAATTTTCTCCTGATTCACTTTTTTTCCTTTCTAGCAAATTTTGACTGGTCTTGTGTCTATTTAGAAAATTGTCTCAAAATAATATTGGTTTCAAATTTTCTAAAATTAAATTTCTGTGGATAAGCCACATAGCGCAGGTATAAGCCACCTAGTATATAATATAGGAGAGAGGATTTTAAAGTTTTTGAATTGTTTGAAATAAACTAGGCTATCATAGTATTCTAGGAACAGGTTCAGTTCTTAAATATTTGGTGTCCTTAAACACGGATACTGCTTTTTAAGGTATAGAAACTATATCGTAGGATACTGGGCGTGAGAGTTTGTATGCTTTCCATGTGAGATAAATTTCGTCACCTAAGTGATAACAAGAGTTTTAAAACCGAATTGCAAGTATATTGGGGTTTCTGGTGGTTTTAAAGGAGGTGTTGCCTTAGGGAAATTGTGGTCTTCTGTCATTGCTGATAAGATGAGGCTTCAGAAGTACGATGTTGTAGTTGAAGAGGTGAATGGTGTGGAAACCATTCAAGTCCCACACTGTGTTTTCGAGAATGCTCTTCCCCTTTGGGAAGACTATATTGTCGGTAAGTTTGTTTCAACGGCGCCTCACGTGGGGTTCATTCATATGACAGTGAATAAAATTTGGATCTTGGAAGACAAGTCAAAGAAAGTCGATGTGTTCGTTGTTGATGAAACTATGGTTAAGTTCAAGATCCCTAATGCTTTGTTTAGATCAAGGATTCTGAGGAAAGGAATGTTGAGCATCAAAAACGTTCCAATGATGGTTTCTAAATAGAGTCCTGTTGTGGAGGAATCTCAGCCGGAAGTAACAGTGCTCCCCATGTGGGTGGTATTACGTAATGTTCTGCGTCCAATGTTCACGTGGAAAGGGTTAAGCTTTTTAACTAGCCCGTTGGGAGAGCCAAAGAAGCTGCATCCGAATACTTTGTGGGCAAGAATTCTGAGGAGGCTAGAGTTTTTGTGGAGGTGAATCCAAAGCAGAAACTGCCAGAATGTTTCAGTTTTAAATCGGCTGTTTCAGTTTTAAATCTAATGCTGAATGGATACGATAGTGCTCTATGAATTTCCGTGGTTGCTTCTTTGGTGTGCTCCATGCGCCAAATGGGGACATACTTAAGCGGACTGTAAAGCACAGTCTAGGGACATAACGATTCTACAGCGTAAATCGCCTATGAAAAAAGTTGTTTCAGTAGAAGTTTTGAGAGGAGAAAAAACAGTGGTGGAGCAGAGTCACTCTGTTTCGACTCAACAGAGAGCTGCTTCTCAAAGAAAATCTGAGACACGTATTGTGGAAACACCATCAGGGAGTACCGAGGGAGGAACCCCAGAAAAAGGTGTTAAAAGTACCAAAGAAGTCACTTCAGAAAGTTGGAAATCCGTAAATTCATCAGCTAGAGCCAGTAGGAGTTCAAAAAAATTTATCGATGAGGATGTTATTGTCTCTGCATCAAGGTTTGTGTCTCTCTAGGATGGTGTATTGGATTTGGAGGATGATGGTGAGGAGGGAAAGAACTCTGGTGACTCATCAGATGAGGATATTCCAGTTTCAAAGGATTTAAATCAAAAGACGAGCAGGGGTACAGAACAAATGGTATCAGAGGATGATGATCTATTGGTGGAAAAACAAAACTCTTTTTTTGATAAGGAAGAAGCGATTAAATTGACTGCAGGAGGAAGAATATCTCTTCCGAGAAGGTCAAAATCATCTCATAAGTTTGTTCAGCCTATTACATCCTCGCCTTTCGGGAGTTCAGGGAAGAAGAAGAGGAATAATAGGAAGAATAACAAGAAGAAGTCAAATAAATCAAACCAATAATGTCTGGGTTTTTTCTGGAACATTAGAGGTTTTAACAAAAAAAGAAACAAAAAGTTGTGTAAAGATGGTGTAGGGAGCAGGATTTTCTTTTCGGGGGACTTTTAGAAGCTCGAATAAAGGAGAATAATGCAGAGGAGGTGGTAAATGAGGTGTTTCCAGGATGGTTGTTTTTGAATAATTATGAGCATCATTGACTCAGAAGAATCTGGGGGTAGTTTGGCGGGATTCGGTCAAATTAATGCCGGTGTTTAAGTGTAGTCAAATGATATCAATGCTGGTGAAGTTACAAGATGGAGAGAAAAAATTCTTGTGTACCTTTGTCTACGGTTCGAACTTTGTGGAGGATAGAAGGGAGTTGTAGACTGACCTAAGAAGCTATTTTGCCTCACCTATCTATAGAAAAATGCGTTGGATGGTTATAGGGGACTTCAATGAAATCCTCTCCATAGAAGAGCACTCAGCTCAAGGTGTTTTGACTGGTTTTTCGGTTGAAATGTGGGATTTTAAAAAACTCATAAGAGATGGAGATTTAAGTGATATGGGATACCATGGTCCTTGTTTCACTTGGTGAATAAGCAGGAAGAAGGATTAATTTGCAAAAAGTTGGACAGGTTGCTTATCAATGATCATTGGCTTGACAACAGCCCTCGGTCATATTGCGTCTTCAAGGTGGGTGGTTGCTCTGACCACCTCCGATGAAGGTTTCAATTAAATGGAAAGATCATGAGATCGAAACAGCTATTCAAGTTTACAAATGTCATTACTAAGTTGCCAGAGTTCCAGGATGCTTTGAAGAGTTATTAGGAGGGAACAATACCTCTCTTTCACTCTACTTCAGCTCTGTTTCGGGTCTCAAAAAAGCTGAAAATTCTAAAACCTGTAATAAGGCAAATCTCTAGAGAGACGTTGCAGGACATATCCAAGAGAGTGAAGATCAACTTTGAGTTATTATGCTCCAAGAAATAACAGAATTTGCTTAATCTGACTATCTTGTCACAGTAAAAAGAAAGTGCTGCTTTCAGTCGATGGGAACAGTCTGCTAATCTCGAGGAAAGCTATGTAGCGCAAAAATCAAATCTTAGCTGGTTAAACGTGGGTGACAAAAATACCAAAGTTTTTCATCAAGTGGTGAAGATCAAAGCATTAAGAAATGGTATTAGACAGTTACAGAGGCAGGATGGAACTGTGATTACAGGGTGCAGTGAGATAAAGGAGGAGGCAGTAAATCACTTCTACTCTATTTGAATCATCGGCCAGGGGATTTTCAACAGGTAAGTGTTGATGTGATAAAGAAGTTGCTACTCTATCGCTGTTCTCTGGAGGATCAACAAAATCTTATCATGGAACTCACAGAAGTTGAGATCAAGGATTTGCAATGGCAGCAAATAAATTTCTAGGTCCGGATGGTTATACAGTGGAATTTTTCAAGGAAAGCTGGCCGGTTATTGGTCATGATCTAGTGATTGCAATACAATCTTTCTTCATAAAATGGTTTCTTCCAAAAGAGGTTAACTCAATAATTCTTGCGCTAATCCCAAAGAAAGAACAAGCTAAACATATGAAGGATTATCGGCCGATTGCTTACTGCAATGTGATTTACAAGATTATTTCTAAGGTTTTGGCTAATTGGTTGAAGCAAATCCTTCTTCAGTTTATTGCTCTAAACCAATCTGCTTTTGTTCAAAACCGTCTTCTGATAGAAAATTTGCTACTTGCATCGGAACTGGTGTCGGGATATTGTATAAACTCGATTTCTTCTCGATGTGCTCTGAAAATAGATATTTCAAAGGCTTTTAATTCAGTTAAGTGGAGTTTCTTATGACTGTTCTATAGGCAATGGAATTACCTCCGGTTTTCATTCACTAGATCCGGTTTGCCTCTTTTTCAGTTCAGGTGAATGGAGATTTAGCTGGATATTTGAAAGTTCTTGGGATTTGCGACAAGGCTGTTCTCTCTTTCCATACTTATTTGTTATTTGTATCAGTGTGCTCTCACCCATGCTGGACAAGGCTGCCATAGAGAGAAAGTTTGGTTATAATCCAAGGTGCTCAAACACTAAACTTACTCATCTTGGGTTTGCGGATGATCTCATGATCTTCTCAGATGGTAAATTGACTTCGGTGGAATGAATTATTGGTGTGTTTGAGGAGTTTTCAAAAATATTGGGGCTTCAAATTAGTCTTGAGAAAACTACTGCATATCTACATGGGGTGGCGAATTCGGTTCGTAACGAAATTGGACAGAGATTTCATTTTGAGCTCGGGTCTCTTCTGGTCCGGTATTTGGGTCTCCCACTTCTCACGAAGCAAATGAGAACTCTCGGCTATCCTTCGCTTATTGATAAGATCAAGAGCAGGATTGGCACATGGACAGCTCATAATCTTTCTTTCGCAGGAAGACTACAGATCTGTCATCGCGAACCTTGTCATTTTTTGGATGTCGGCTTTTAAATTCCTGGATGTGGAAGCAAATACTTAAATGCAGAACCTTGGCTGAGAGGTTTCTAAGGGTTGGTGTTAAAAATAGTAAAATGGTGTTATTTTTGGTATGATAGCTGGTTGGCAATGGATAACCTTTTTATCAACATTTGGTTCAACGGTTGTGTTGATTAAGGCATCAATCATGCTTCTACTATGGAAGATGTATTTCTCACGCATATAATAAGATGGCACCGCAATCAAATGCTAAGCAAGGTGGAGGATGAGATCGAGGCTGTACGACATAGGTATCGAGAAACAGAGGAGGATGTCTACCTGTGGAACTCAAAGGAGGACTCGTACAAGATTTCTTTCAATACCAAAACAACTCAGGATTAGCTTACTCAGCACTCGTCGAGGATTCCATGGTTGGGATTTGGTTTAACCATCATACTCCAAAATTTGCTTTCATTGCCTGGTTAATGTTACATAATCGCTTATTGATGGGAGATCGTATGTGAACTTGGAACTCGAACATTCAAGTCCACTGTGTGTTCTGTCACATATCGGTGGAAACACACGATCACTTGTTCTTTACATGTCCATATTCTAAAAGGATATGGTTGAACCTAGCCAATGGAATCATGCTCCAGGATTTCTCTACAGAGTAGCCGACAATTGTTGACAGAATCTCGAAAACTCAGCAGAATTAGGTGGATCTTTTCATCGCCAGATACCTTTTCCAGCAAACAATCTACGCAATCTGGAGGAAAAGGAAGGCTCGCAGGCATGGCTCTCCTCCTATGAACTAGACCAAACTAGTCAAAGTAATCGACAAAGGTCTTCGAAACAGGTTTAGCTCCATACGATTACCACTACAAGAAAACATGTCATATTCTTACGAAAATTCCTACGAATGTATTTGGTAGGAATATTTTTCACCAATTTCTTACGAAATTATGACGAAAAATAAAAGTGGTAGGAAATTGGTAAAAAATTTCCTACAAAAAAAAAATGTCAAAAAGTGGTAGAATATATCCAACCAATAACCTACCAAATTTATATTCGTAGAAAATACTGTCAAAATTTGGTAGGAAAATTGTAGGATCCAATTGTATGTTACCCTGGTGGAAATTTCGTATTAAACTGTCCTACGAATTTCCTACGAAATATTGTTTGTAGAAAAATCGTAGGAGGTTTGTAGGAAAATATGTATTTTTATTTCTCCCACATCGAAAAGTTAAGAATTTAGACGAAGAGACTGCACTATAAAAAGAGCAAAATTAAATTTTTCTACGGATTTCCTACGAAATATCGTTTGTACAAAAATCGTAAGAATTCCGTAGGACACTATGTTTTTTGGTTTATCCCACATCAACAATCTAAGATAATTCAAGTGAAGAAGTTGCTCTATAAATAAGAGTCTTCACCTCTCTCCCTCTAGTTAATAATTATTTAGTTTAATTTATATAATTCTAGTTAATATATTTATAAATAATTTATAAATAAGAGTCTTCACCTTCATTAATCAAATTTATAATTAATTTATATTTAAATTTAAATTCAATTTCCGATATTAATTTAAGTTTTGATTTTTATAAAATTATATTGGTAAGAAATTGGTAAGAAATTAGTAGTAAAAGATTAGTAAAAAAATCGTAGGAAATAGGTAAGTGATGTTTCATAGGAAATTGGAAAGAATATTAATCTATAGAAAATGGTAGTAATTTAGTAGGAAAGTTCTATTAAATTTTTCGTAGGAAAACTGTCCTACCAACATTTTCGTAGGAAATTTCATACCATTTTCTTACCTTTTACAATTTCCGACGGCTGATTTCCTATGACAAAATTTTGTAGGAATTTGGTAAGAAAGAGTTGTTTCCTACGTTTTTCTGGCGATATTTTCCGTAGGTTTTCGGCATGTTTTTTTGTAGTGTACTAAGTGATTCCAGATATGAAGATAAATTACAAAGGTGGTTTGCATTTGGGCCAGCTTTGTGAATTAAGTTTTTTTTGATGAAAAATAAAGAATTGTAACCAGTTTTATGCTTTAAAGCTCGCATTTTAGAAATGAATTTTTTTTTTGTTTGAAGAAAATTTAACATTCATTAAAAAAATAAAACCGAATTGCAAATCTGTAAATGCATAGTTGTATCACTTATCTAATTGAGATCGAATATATATATGGAAAAAAAATCTGAGAATCTATTTAAGCTAATCAGAATAGCAAAATAGCGAAGTAGCCGAATAATAAAATAATAGAATTAATAAAACAAAAAATAAAACTGAAAACAAAATAAATTATATGGAAACTATATCGTAGGAGACTGGGTGCCATGCTGGAACGTCTGTCGTCTGGATATGCTATATGCATATGTTTCCACAGTCCACACAATAGACGCTATAACACGTAATGTAAAAGGATTCATTTACTTTTGCATGGCTAACCCAATTCTTTTTCTTTTCAGGTATCCTGATGATATCTTTGATCGCAAATGGGCTCCATCTATACGTTATTTAGAAATAAGCGTAAACACCACTCTCAATGTGACTTCCTCTAATCCTTTTGCAGTGCCAGATGCTGTAAGTAGGTCGGGAATTTCCCCCAGAAATGCCACCAGACCATTTAACTATTACTGGTATCCAGACGTCCCTAATGACAAAGTTAATGCATATTTTCATTTTGCCGAGATCCAACCCCTACAAGCAAATGATACTAGGGAATTCGACATTTTCTTTGAAGGAATTATTATTCACAGAGCTTATAGTCCTCAGGTGTTACAATCAGAAACAAAATACAACAAATCACCACTAAAATGTGGAGGCGTATTTTTTAAGTCATGCGACTTGGACCTTGTAAGAACTGAAAGATCAACTCTTCCGCCCCTGATTAATGCTGTTGAGGCGTTCAATGTTTTGGAAATTTTATATGCTGAAACAGATCCAAACGATGGTATGTCACAGTTTATTCCTTTACATATTGCCTAGTTAACTACGAAACGATGATACCGTGTATGCTAATTCTTGACTTCCTCTTGGATCTCTATGTCAGTCTCTGCTATAAAGAATATCCAAGAAACGTATGGATTAAAAATAATAAGTTGGCAGGGAGATCCCTGCGTCCCTGAACTGCTAAAATGGGCAGATTTAAAGTGCAGCTACACTAACAGTTCTACTCCTCCAAGGATTATTTCTTTGTAAGTTCACTATCTCATACATTTTCTTTTGTTAAAACACAAATATCTCAAGAATCTTATGCTTGAAATCGTTCTGATAATGTAAACAGAGATTTATCATCACACGGGTTAAAAGGGGCCATAGCACCAGTCTTTCAAAATCTGACCGAGCTTCGAAAACTGTAATTGCTTCTAAAAACTGTAGTTTCGTGCTGTTTCTTTTGCCGGTCTATTACATTATCATTCATCATATTAACTTAAAAACTCTGTTTGCCAAAAAAAAAAAAAAACTTAAAAACTCTAAAATCTTACAATATTACCATCCACAACGCACGAACTTAATATATCTAACTAGCAATATAAAAGTGCGTGCATACTACTTCATTCCGCTTTAAGGGTTTCTGTTTTCCAGGTTTAGCATGTTTTGTGGCAAATTTGTTCGGGTTCATCTCCTAACCGGACCTATTAAGGAATTTCGGTTGGGCTTTTCTTTTTATTTTGTTCCTTCATGGAGTTTTTTATTTTTAATTTCATGTCTACTTTGCACAATGAAGTACCAACAAAGAAAACCCAGAGATATTTAAATTTTATATGAAGACCCTTTAATATTTAAAAAAAAAATGCAGTTTTGTGGATATAATATATCTATATACTAACGACAAAAAATCATATTATCGTATTAATATTAATGTTTTATCACACAAGGCATGAGAAAGAACATAATATCAAGGCCATGATTTTTCCTCATAATTGAAGTATGTCTTATCATATCTTCTGTGACTAGATCTTGGTTTTTTTTTTTCTTTATAGATAACTTATGAGAATATAATATCATGGTAAAACGAAAATCTATTCTTTGTTCTATAAATGGAAATGAATTTTAAACATTTTTGCATACGCTAGGGACTTATCAAATAACAGTTTAACTGGAGGAGTGCCCGAATTTCTAGCCAGCATGAAGTCATTGTCGATCATGTAAGTTAATTTGAATAAACGTTGATTAGCCACTTATTATTCAGATTTGGCTGTTGTCAATGTAATATTTCTTTTTTTCGACAGAAACTTAAGTTGGAACAATCTTACGGGTCCTCTTCCTAAAGCATTTCATGATAGAGAAAAGAATGGGCTAAAGCTGACGTATATTTTTATTTTTTAAAACAATTTCCATTAACGCTCGTTTATTTTTTAGTTTTATTGAACAACACTTATGCTCTTAAGGATCAATGGAAACTCTAAGTTTTGTGCTGATGCGTCATGCAAAAATAGCAACCAAAAGTACGTTTTACCAGTTGTTGCATCAGCTGCTTCCGTACTCATCATTGTAGCTGTGTTGATTCTCATTCTGTTTTTCAAGAAGAAAAAGCAAACGCAAGGTACTCAGTTTACAGATGGGATATGTCCTTATCACTTAGTGTAGCATGCATGATGTATTAAGTATACTAAAGGAACCAAATCACATGGAGCTTTTCATTATTTGCACATTATTCTGTCTTTATCTACAGTTCAACATGAGTTACCAAGTGGGCCGTCCATAGTTACGCAGACAAAAAAGTTCACATATTCAGATGTGGCAACCCTAACAGACAACTTTCAACGAGTTCTTGGAGAAGGAGGATTCGGAGTAGTATATCATGGTTATTTGAATGGTACACAACCAATAGCTGTTAAATTACTTTCTCAATCATCAGTACAAGGCTATAAGGAATTTAAGGCAGAGGTATGTTAAGGTCACGTACCATACTTAAATATGGCCAATATATATATATATATATATATATATATTTATAAACATGTTTTGACATTGTTGGTCAGGTTGAACTCCTTTTGAGAGTCCACCACGTAAATTTGGTAAGTTTGGTTGGATATTGTGACGAAGAAGGCCACTTGGCCCTCCTTTATGAGTATGCACCCAATGGAGATTTAAAACAGCATCTCTCAGGTAAAAACTTAAATACATCACTTTTTAAAATAAGGATCATGCACTCACAAGATATCTGTATTTCATGTCTCCACAATATCGCTTAATTGTTTCGAATTATAGGAGAACGTGGTGGCTTCCCTTTGAAGTGGTCAAGTAGACTAAAAATTGCCGTCGAGACTGCTCAAGGTTCGTTCTAATTTCAAAATCCATCAATTATTTTACATTGATCGTCTAACATGCATGAGAGAGTTTAATTTATATATATATATACAGGTTTAGAGTACTTGCATACGGGTTGCAAGCCTCCAATGGTACATCGTGATATAAAAACAACAAATATACTTTTGGATGAGCACTTCCAAGCGAAACTAGCAGATTTTGGGCTTTCAAGATCTTTTCCAATCGGGGGAGCAACCCATGTGTCAACAGCCGTTGCTGGCACTCCTGGATATCTTGATCCTGAGTAAGAGTTAAATAACCTCACTAAGTAGACCCAAACTTGTCTACCGTTTCATTTGAAAAAAAAGGACCTATTTTGTCTTGTAGATATTATCGAACAAATAGGTTGAACGAGAAGAGTGATGTATACAGCTTCGGCATTCTATTATTGGAAATGATCACAAGCCGACCTGTAATTCAGCAAACCCGGGAAAGGCCACACATAGCAGCTTGGGTGGGATACATGCTTACCAAGGGAGATATTGAAAACATTGTGGATCCAAGACTCAGTAGGGATTATGATCCTACTTCGGTCTGGAAGGCAATTGAGATAGCAATGTCTTGTGTGAATCCTTCTTCCCGGGAAAGACCAAACATGTCTCAAGTTACTAATGAACTAAAGGAATGCCTCACATCATGCAACTCAAGGCAAGGAGGGATAGGAGACATGGGCTCAAAGAGTTCCACTGAGATGAGCACTCGCTTTACGTCCGAAATTTCCCCGAATGCACGTTAACTTTTGCGAACAACCCCATGATAACTTACGAATTCCGTTTATTTATTTATTTTTATTTTTGCAAGGAGTATATTCTCGTTGCCTCGTTCGTCATTTATTGTTATGTGTGACTTCATGGTTTGCTTATGTTTGTGATCGTATATGTATTAAAGTTATCAGTGTGGATTTTGGGTTTGATTTGGATTTTACTCTGGTTCTGGATTGAGTTTTGGATTACTTAATGCATCTGGGAAACGGACAGGACAGGTGCCAAAAAATTGATGCTTGATAAGTTGTAAAACCCTAGTTATTACCCAAGTGCAAGATTATGCAAACGAAGTAGTATTCGGGTCGAATCCACAAGAAGAAATATCCACTATATAAGTAGTATGCAAGAAACATTCTAAGCTACGCTAATCGGTTTTCTCACACTTAGAGATTCTAGATGCAATACGAGAATCAAAATAAACAAGAAAGAGATATATGCAATAACAAACCTAAATACTGTCATAGACTTCCAACTTAAAATCAATTAGCAATGAATGAATTGATTTATGTTTCTTTTATATTATTTAAAAACTCTCCTAACTTTTGATGTGTGATATATTCTCTAATATGCGCTCTTGAAATGATGGCTCTTTGGCCATCAATGTTCGGGTTTGGACTGATGGGACCAACTTTAGGTCCGATTGATAATGAATTTGGTTCTCTGATACCATGTTAAGTTACATGGATTTTTAATTGATCAAAACCAATTGACAATAAGTGGATTATCACTGTTATTTTATATATTGCTTAAGATCCGTATATATTCCCTAATAAACATAGCTTACAGGAAAAAAAATCTTAGAGAGTGTGCAGCCAGGGACTTAAAACAAGGTAAGGGAGTGTCTCATGTATGAAAACCCAAGGACGATCCGAGCTGGACTAAAAAAATAGTTCTCTAGAACTAAGCATCACCACTTCTCCTGAAGTGACCCGTGATGCACAGTAACAGCAGTCACATTGATACTACCTTGCTGATTTTCCTTTTATCAAAAATTTCGCAAATCTGTTTTCAGATCGAGACTATGTAAAAGGTTTAAATTTTGATCAAAATTTTTTTTTCTACTATACTCAAGGTTTCTAGATACAACATTTACTTTTCTGCCTAAAACTCTGTTCTTAGACAGAGTTTTCCTTATCTAATGCTCTATCTGAGAGAGTAGGCTCTACGACAACCTAGGCCATTCCCTGTTCTATGGTTTATAACACAATTTCGCAATAAATTTGATGTAAGATTCATGAAAAAAAACCTAGATTAATATATGTACGGCTTATAATGTTTCATCAAAGCCACACAAAAGTCCATAAACAATCACAAATGTAACCTCCCAGCTCGTAGCTCTCAACGACGTCTTAGGGAATAAATTTCTGCCAGAACAAAATAGTTCAACAAGAAGCCAATGAAATGAGAGATCTTAGTAATTTCATTGTGTAAAAAAAGGTCATGATTATGTGCTACCAAACAAGATTTTGGTTTTGAACTTAAGGTTACAAATACTTACTGTATATAAAGATGTTCAACAAGGTCTTCTTTATGGCTACAAATACATTACATATTGTCCAGTTATGTCCCCATTTTAATCATAAGATTGCAGTTAATTAAATAACCCATAGAGGAATAAAGGTTGTAAGCACGTCATGGTCATCGTTATTGGTGACTAATTATCCTGGTTGTTTCTGTTCTGTCAACAACCCTATATAATACAAAAGTCAAAAGTCAATGATCAACCTTAATCTTGACTTAAAAATGAACGAGGAATCAAACAGAGGCGAAATCTGTTTTGTTCTTGTCTTAAAACTCCTCAGAAATGGAGATTCATCAAGGTCTTTTTCTAGCTCTGATCATTGTGGCTTTTGGCACTACTACACATCTAATTCAAGCCGAGTCTGATCCAAAAGGTATACTAGTCTCTTAAACAACTTGTTGATAAGAAGTCTTGAAATTTACATTTTCTTTGTTTCTTTGCATTCGACATCGAACTTTATGCCATCTCTTAACAGAATTCATCAGCTTGGATTGCGGATTACACCACGCAGTATCCCCTTATACCGAACCATTAACCGGATTAACATATACATCCGACGCCAACTTCACTCTAGCTGGTCAAAGTGGCAGAGTCCAAAAGGTTTGGGAAGAAGCCTACAAGTCATTCACAGTCCTAAGACCATGTCCATCAGTGAACTTCTGAGAAAGGGGTTCATCCCAAGATAATAATACTTTTTTTTTGGATTTTGTTTTTTTATTTTTTTAAATTCGAAAATTATTTTTGGACCAATCAGGATGCTCCACGTGTGATGAACCTGGATAAACTTGGGTTCTTCAAGTTCATCGGGAAGAACTTTGGCCATGAACCTCTACCTTTAAAATTATTATTTTATTGAATTTCGTCTTAAAACTTGTGTCATGAACTCTTGATGAACCCCTGCTAGACATGCTCTAAGATATTTTCCAAACGGAATACGAAACTGCTATAACTTGAGGGTCACTCAATCCACAAAGTATCTTATCGAAGCTCTCTTCCTCTATGGGAATTACGACGGGCTTAACAATGCTCTGAAATTCGATCTTTATCTAGGTCCTAACATATGGACAACAGTTGATTTAAAAAGCTCCATAGGTTCAAAAACAGAGGAGATCATCCACATTCCAAAGTCAAACTCTTTGCAGATTTTTCTTGTGAAAACTGGAAAGACTACACCAATCATCTCAGCCTTGGAACTAAGACCTTTGAGAGATGTATTAAGAGATACAAGGCCCAATATGTTAGAATCCCACATCGAAAAATTAAAGGACTAACACTAATATATAAGGGACTTGGACCTCTCCACTTATCGCCAATTGGTTTTAAGTTGGAAGTCCAGGAAACTTAACATGGTATCAGAGCCTCGTTTGTTGACCCAATAAGAATGGCCCAAAAAGGATTTATTATCGGTCCTAAAGTGGGATTCGGTTCGAGATGGGCTGATAAGAGCCATCATCTCGAGGGGGCATGTTAGAATCCCACATTAAAAAATTAAAGGGACTAACACTAATATATAAGGGACTTGGGCCTCTCCACTTATCGCCAATTAATTTTAAGTTGGAAGTACAGAAAACTTAACAAGATGACACTTACACCACTCAAAATGGTTCCTTGAAGCTCTTAAAACGCTACTATGCTTCTGATTTTCTCGGTCCTTCTATTCGGTAATTTAACTTTACTTACTTTACAAGCAACATATCACAAATGGTGATAAACGGTTTTAATTGTTGATTTAATGTTCAGGTACCCAGCAGATGTATATGATCGTGAATGGCAGCCAATAAGTCTTTCTTTTAATTTAAATTTTGTAAACACAAGTCTTAATGTAAACTCTTCTACTCCTTATGAGTTACCACAAGAAGTCATTTCAAAGGCAGTCATTAACAAAAACGTGACCGAGAAGTTAACTTACGACTGGATTGTGGAAAACCGCGAGGATCAAGCTCTCATATACCTACATTTTGCTGAGATACAAACACTTCGAGGAAACGATACAAGAGAATTCGACGTTACATGGAAAGGAAACGACGGAAACATTACAATTTCAGCTTATCGCCCTCCAAAGTTACAGCTAGAGACTCTATACAACAAATCGCCTATGAAATGTAGGTTTCTTGAATGTACAGTGGAGCTGGCTATGACTCCGAGCTCAACTCTCCCACCAATGATCAATGCTATGGAAGGATACATAATTATTGACTTCCCTGATGCAGAAACTAATCCAGAGGATGGTTAGTATTGATTTACTTCAGTATTTATACAATCTGTATTTTTTTTGTCGACAGCATAATACCTAAAACATTTCTGTATCCTAATTTTGGTTTTATTTTCAGTCATTGTGGTCCAAAATGTTCGAGATACTTATGAAATAAGTAGAATCGACTGGCAAGGAGATCCATGCGTTCCTCAACTGTTCAAATGGGAGGGTATAAACTGCAGCTACACAAATGCTTCTATTCCACCAAGAATTATTTCATTGTAAGATTGTTTAATCATAGATACAATCATTTTTTTCAATGTTTAAATATTTATAAATGTGTGTTCTGTTTTCATAATCAGAGACTTGTCATCAAGTGGACTAAAAGGGAACATAGCATCTAGCATACAAAATCTAACCCATCTACAAGAACTGTAAGATAATAATAAAACTGCATATATTTTGTTAGATGAACTTTGATTGTGTTCTTGACTGTTTTTCACTGTATTTACTCAAATGTTCAGCGATTTGTCGAATAACAACCTGAGTGGAGGAGTGCCTGAATTTCTAGCCAACATGGAATCATTGTTGATCATGTGAGTAAATTTCTTGGCAACATTAAGTGATCATATTCTTTTCACCAGAGTTATGAAATGTACGTAATGTTCTTCTCTGTTTTGACAGAAACTTAGGGTGGAATAACTTAACCGGTCCAACACCTCAAGCCCTTCGGGATAGAGAAAAGAAAGGGCTAAAATTGGTGTAAGTTTCTCCTTAACAGTTTCTTGTTCCACATGTGATTATTTGTATTCAGTGAAATTCTTGTTCTCTAGTGTTCAAGGAAACCCAAATCTTTGTCTCTCCGGCTCATGCAACAATAGCAACAAGAAAGTCCTAGTACCAGTTGTTGCATCAGTTGCTTCACTCGTAGCTCTCATCGCCTTGTTGGTTCTCTTTCTTGTTTTGAAAAAGAAAAAGCCCTTATCAGAAGGTACATATATTGATAGATTCATCGATCAAGAAGCACGTAGAGGCTTAGTAGACTATAAGTTTCATAGAATATAGTGTAATGGCATTACTTATGATCTTTGCCTGTACAGCTACACGTGAGTTATCAAGAAAGTCATCAATCTTTGCCAAAAAGAAAAAGTTCACATATTCAGAAGTCGTGGAGCTAACTGATAACTTCAAAAGAGTTCTTGGAGAAGGAGGATTCGGAGTTGTCTACCACGGTTCTTTGAGTGATACCGAACCAGTAGCTGTTAAAGTTCTCTCTGAGTCATCAGTTCAAGGCTATAAGGAGTTTAAGGCAGAGGTATGTTAACGTTTTAGCACTTGTTCGATCGAAAAAAAAAAATTGTTTTATGTCCTTTTGATAGTTTTCATTGATATGAAAATGGATCCAAAAGGTGGAGCTTCTTCTAAGAGTTCATCACATAAACTTGGTAAGCCTTGTTGGCTACTGTGATGAAGGAGGTCATTTAGCACTTATCTATGAGTACATGGCTAATGGAGACCTTAAACAACATTTATCCGGTAATTAAACATTGATACAAGACATGTCGTTACTCTTCTCTAAATTTTTAAGTTTTATGTCTTTAACCTGTAAGGATTTAGCATTTTCATTTGCAGGAGAATCACCTGGACCTACTTTGAAATGGGCTAGTAGACTTAAAATTGCCGTCGAGGCGGCACAAGGTTTAAATTTCAGTCAACTTTTTTATATCATTGCAAAGACATTGTGAAGTACTTTAAACTTCATATATATTTTCAAATCACTCAACATGGATATGACTTTGTGTCCATAGGTTTAGAGTACTTTCATGTTGGGTGCGAGCCACCAATGGTTCATAGAGATGTCAAAAGCACGAATATACTATTAGACGATCGTTTTGAGGCCAAACTTGCGGATTTTGGACTTTCGAGATCATTTTCCGTAGGAGCTGAGACTCAAGTAGCAACAGTAGTTGCAGGAACACCTGGTTATCTTGATCCTGAGTAAGTTTTCGAATACATAGAAAATTAATGTAACTAATTTAACTCTCTTTTTCTTTTTACTTCATTATTTAAGTTCTATATACTTTTTTGGGAGGATTGCTATTGTGACCTTAAAAATAGCTGTAATTAGTAGAACAACCTTACATTCTCGAAATTAGTAGAATAACCTTCCATTTTAAAAAAACCCGATTTTACCCTTGGGAAGCTTTGATGAGAAAAAACGTATTTACAAAAATGCCATTATTAAATTATTTCCACGTCAGCTGTTAAAATCGGGCACCCAGAAATAAGTCTACCAAGCTTAATGGTAGATATATAAGTTTTGATAGATTTAAAAATATATCGGTAGACATAATAATTTTTGGTAGACTTAATATTCAAAAAATAGATTTGTTTAGATGTTGATAGACTTATAATGATAGATTTATTTTTATCGAAAGGTAGATTTAAAATTGTTGATAGATATTTGAATGTGTTGGTAGACTTGTTGGTTCTTAAAGTAGATTTATTTTCAAGATGGTAGACATAATGTTGTTGAGTTGACTTTGTGAGATGTGGTTGACCAAAATCGGTAGACTTATTATCTTTCACAGTAGATTTGTTAGACACGAAAATAGACTTATTTCTAATAAATATAAATCTACTACAATATAAAAAAATTATTCGTGATAGTTTTGTTGTACGCATGGTAGATGTAAATGTCGATAATAGATTTGTTTTGAAATAATAGACTTGTTTTCTGTGTGGTAGACTTAAAAGTTCCGTTAGAGAGTATAGATATGTGATAGACATATAAGAGTATGTAATAGATATATTTGGCGGTGGTAGACTTATTTTTAAAAAAGTATATTTATTTGATAATATAGTAGACATATAACTCATTTGGGAGCTTCGATGTTGGTAGACTTATTTGAAAATTGGTAGACCTATTTGAAATTGGTAGACATATTGAAAGTTGATAGACATATTTACTTCACTGAACGGTAGACTTAATGATATGAAATGACGTTATTATCAAGTAGTTATTATCGAATTTTTCTGTTCCAACCACTGCATCTAGTAGCTCTTATGATTTCTTCTCTTTACCTCTTTTGGAGTACTATTTGTACCTTGGAGGAAAAAGTTTTAGTTATTGATTGGGAAATCGACTATAGTGATTTCGTAGGTATGGTTTATGAAAATTTTGACTTGGATCAATGCTATTATGAGGTTCGATTGAGTTATATGTTGTTGAAGACATACTTGCAAAAGCTACCGCGAGATACACTTCTGGGTTTTTAGCAAGTACTCGACAACTTGGTGGTTTTTGCGATAATTTGAAAACAAAATGGTCCGTCCATTTATGCGTCTAGATTATAGACAAAGCGGAGTCCAAAGATATCGAAAAATATGTCAAAACTTCAATTGTATAAAGTGATGATTAAGCAAGTAAATCATACATGATTCAATAACTATACAATACCATATATGATTAAATAAGTCTATCATACATAAATCAACTATAACATACAAAGAACAATAACTTTATCGTATATGATTCAACAACTCTATCATACATATAGAGAACAATAACTCTATCATACCTGATTCAACAACTCTATCATACATACACCAAACAATAACTTTACAATACACAGTCTAACAAGTCTACTATACACGGATGTCTGATTCCTGCAACACACACAAATTAGGGTTAGCTTTACTTTCGAAAGCTCACTTTCAGCCGCCGTTGCAACTGTAACTCTATCTTTCGCACAATCGACGCCGAAAGTTCCTTTTCAGCCCCTGCCGCCATAGGTGACTGGTGTCTTTCGCCCAAAAAACACCGGAAGTTCCCTAATATGCTCGCCGGGTCCTCACATTGATTCTCTGAAGAAGATGAAACGACTTCAAGGACTCAAACACGAAATCGCCAGAATCACAGATTTGCCGGAAACACAAAAAAAATCCAGTATAATAACTCTATCATACATGATTAAACAAGTCTACCATACATGGAACAATAAATTATATATGATGCATAAATCTATCATACACGGAAAACTAACGTGTTCGTCGCCGAGAGAAGACGAGAGGTCTGAAATCAGCTTTTTTGTCTTTCGTCTTCTCCGGTGCTTGCTGTAGCCGACAAGCCGACAACGGTGAAGAACGCGAAAATGAAAAAGTGAATGAAACGAAATGATGAAGAAAAATGAAACGACAAATGGACAAAAACTTATCGGAGATGCAGAACAGGCCGATAAGAAGCTCAGAAGGTGACCAGAAACGATGCAGACGCCGGAAACTCGCAAAATCTGGAAAATCACCATCATCGTCGGTTTCTCCTCCACCTCTAGGTTTTTTTTTCTCGGAAATGAAATAGAAATTAGGTTGAAAACGAAATCTCAAAGATATTAAAAAAAAATTATTTTATTATTTTTTAAAAAAATTAATTAAATTACGAAATTATTAAAAAAAAAAAAGATTTTCATGTGTGAAGGGTTACACCGTCTTTTCCACGCTGGTAAGGTTAATCTAGCAAAAATGTAAGGGACCTAGGTTATTTTTGCAAACAGACTTATTTGTAAGGTCATTCTAGTAATTATTCCTACTTTTTTTTTATTTTGCAGATATTACCTAACAAATTGGTTAAACGAGAAGAGTGATGTCTATAGCTTCGGTATTGTATTAATAGAAATCATCACAAACCGATCAGTGATTGAGCTAACACGAGAAAAAGCTCATATAGCAGAATGGGTAAAGATTCTTATAAGCAGAGGAGATATTGAGAAAATCGTTGACCCAAACCTTGGAGGAGATTATGACTCTAACACAATCTGGAGGATTCTTGAACTAGCAATGTCATGTGTGAGTCACTCTTCATCTGATAGACCAACCATGTCGAAAGTTGTTAAAGTGCTTAAAGAGTGTTTGAACTCTGAGAATTCGAGGATAAGAGGACAGATTCAAGATGATGATTCAAAAGACTCCTTAGAATTGACTATTGATTTTGGAACCCAAGTGACCCCTGATGCACGCTAGGCTGTGACAAGAATCGCATCTTTATCTTAAATAACAGAGGAATTGTTCTGATAACAGAGGAATTGTTCTGTTGTATTTCTTTAATGTTTTTGAACTAATAATGTTTGTTTTGTTTATGTTGTTTTTTTCAGATTGGTCTGAACTTACAGTATTTTGATTATAGAGTTCTTGTTCTTTGAGTTGTCTTCTTCACACATTGATCATGATTCACATTTACACCAAGACTATGATTTTTTTTTTTTTTTTGCAAAATCGGCAGATGAATTTGGGATTTGGGGATTCATTTTTTGTAATTGAAATTTTAAAATAACTTGAATTTTGCATGTGATTTTATCTGAACAGTAAGTAATTGGGCATAAGAAAACAGAACTAAAAAGTCAATTGTATGGGTTCATCATAAAATATAAAAATCACACACAATAAAATGCATTACAAGTTTTACGAAATTTTCACCATATATATTTTGTTCAAAAGTTTAGTACATTGTTGACAAAAAAAAATTAAAATTCACATTTCAAATTTTTAAAACTTGGTCGAAACAGATAGAGAGGTGGAAACAAAAAAGGAATTCATTTTTCGTATTTGTTTTTCCAGCTCCATTATTGTCACGTGCGTGGCACAGAACTTAGATACATTAATAGAAAAGGAAAAAAAAAAGAAACTAGAACAAAAAAATCTATACTTTTTTTACCGGTCGTCGTAGATCTGAATCAGAAAAATTCAGTAGTTCATAAGCAAAAACCAAACAAAACTTCTCAGAAAATCGGTAAGAAGTAAGAACCCTAAATTCGATAGTACTCTCATCACTCGAATCGGAGCAGGGTTTGACACTGAATCCGTTCTTGTGAACTGGGTTTTGCATTCGGATCTATCTTGTTTTTGGAGATCTCATCGCAAATATGAAAGAAAGTAAATCTGCAAAGTTGAATCATCAAGACCACCATGAACAGATTCACCACCAAAACAGTCACTTGAGTTCTTTCAAATTCGCCAAATTGTTCGATTCAGAAGCTTCCTGGGACAAGGTAAATAGTCTCTCTTAGTGTTCTGTAGTTGCTATGTCTAAAGTTGATTTCTTTTTATCCTGTGTCGCTTACACTGATTTTGTAGCTTAACTTTATAGCTAAGACTATAAAAACTTGTTATTGGACAAAGAGTAAATATGTTTCTGTATTGGGGATTAGCTTTAAATTCTGATTGATTGCTAATTTAGAGAGTGATTCCTGAATAGTAAAAGCAATAGTTTCTTTTGATGCTTCTGAAATGGTTTTTGAGCGTGTGGTTGTTGTTGGGACAGGATCAATTGGGAGATGTGTTGCATTGGATCAGGCAAGTGGTTGGGTTACTCTGCGGATTGTTGTGGGGTTCGATACCTTTGGTTGGAGGCATTTGGCTACTTCTGTAAGTTCTTCATTCATCTTGTTACAATTTACAGTGTATGACTAGAAAGAATTGTATCCTCCTGTCTAATCTCGAGCTATGGTTTTCAGAAGTTTGTTGGCTTGATCCATGGAATCGAATCAGTATCGTTTGATTTCCCTGGCTTTGTTCTATATTGCTGATCAGGAAACTTTTGAAAGCTATCACTTTTCAAACGATAGTAAGCTACAACAGTTGCTATTGTCCTTATCTTACTTCTATGAAAGTTGCTCGAGTTGAACACCTAAAATTGTGTACCTGTTTGCATTGCAAGAAAAAATCCACCTTTTATGAAAGCCGATTAGAAATCTTATTTTTCAGCGGTACTAATACTGTAGATCTTGGCGAAATTTTGTTTTTCATAACAGAGAGAGTTACCATCAAAACCCAAGTGTTCATTATCAGTTTTGTTTGCATTTGAATAGTTAAAAGTCTAGACTTTGAGCTTGAGTTTCCGGCGACATTCATAGAAATAGAGTGATGGGTTACCATCAAAACCCAAGTGTTCAATATTAGTTTTGTTTGCATTTGAATAGTTAAAAGTTTAGACTTTGAGCTTGAGTTTTCGGTGATATTCATAGAAATAGAGTGATGGGTTACCATCAAAACCCAAGTGTTCAATAATAGTGTTTGCATTTAAATAGTTAAAAGTCTAGACTTTGAGCTTGAGTTTTCGGCGATATTCATAGAAATAGAGTGATGGGTTACCATCAAAACCCAAGTGTTCAATATTAGTTTTTGTTTGCATTTGAATAGTTAAAAGTCTAGACTTTGAGCTTGAGTTTCCGGCGACATTCATAGAAATAAAGTGATGGGTTACCATCAAAACCCAAGTGTTCAATAATAGTGTTTGCATTTGAATAGTTAAAAGTCTAGACTTTGAGCTTGAGTTTTCGGCGATATTCATAGAAATAGAGTGATGGGTTACCATCAAAACCCAAGTGTTCAATATTAGTTTTTGTTTGCATTTGAATAGTTAAAATTCTAGACTTTGAGTTTAAGCTTATCTATAAGAGTTTCCGGCGACATTGATAGAACTTGAGTTTTCATTTTACAATCACACAACTACATAGCAGGCCTTTGTATGTTACTTAAGCCCGGTTTAAGTTGATTTATCTTTACAAGTTACACTATAAATTTGGTAGATTTCTGGCGATCTCTTCTGGCATAGTATATGGTTACTATGCATTGATTCTAAAGATCGATGAAGAAGACTTTGGTGGTCATGCAGCTTTGCTCCAGGACGGTCTATTTGCTTCTCTAAGTGTATTCCTGGTAAATTTTCATCCTCTCTCTCTCACTATACATATATCTATATTCATTCTTCATGTTTCTATCTTAAGGTAGATTTTCTTTAATCTTAAAAGTTGATTTCGGTCATTTGATGAATTACGTTTCAGCTTGCGTGGATTCTGGTGTATAGCTTGTCTAGCTTCTGATAGAGACGCACTGTCTTGTCCTTGAGTTGCTTTAGCCTTGCTCGGAAGAAGTTTTAGCAGAGGTTGCCTTTTCATGGTTTCTTCGGTTAGTCTTCTTTACGTTGCCATTGATGCTTTTGCTTTCTGAAGATGGGAACTAGCATTGGTAGATTTTCAATGGAACATATGGTTTCCTTTCCTTTTGTCAGTTATACTATGTTTTTATTTTGGAAATTTTTTTGTGTAATAAAACTAATATTATTATGCAAGGTTGTGTTTATTCTGAAAATATGGCATCTTTAACACCCTTTCTCCAAATTTTAGTACAAAAACTTGTCAATAAACTGAAGCAAAATCAAACATATGATATTTTTTAATCAGGATCAAGTGTCGTGAAGAAGAGAAAATAAAATCTCAGTTAAAAGTCTAATGCGTCTGCCGGGAGTCGAACCCGGGTCTATTGCTTGGAAGGCAATTATCCTAACCGTTGGACTACAGACGCTTTGATGCTATAACATATCAACACATAAAAATTAACTCATAGTTAGTAGGGGCAGAGCAATTACAGATTTAAAGAATGTACAATCCAAACCAATAAGCTTCTTTGGAAAATGTCGTGGGCTAGATTGCAGTTTGCAGGCTTTGTAATCTGTTTTTGTGCGTTTGGGTTCTTGTTAGGTGTTTGTTAAGGTTAATTAACAAATTGTAGACGAAAGAAGAATAAACAATGCTATTGCTGTCTCAACAATGAATATATTTTTTTTTTTAACATGATCTACAACTGTGTAAATAAAATCAACCAATTGAAAAAAGAAAAAAGGCCTCGTGACTTCTTTCTACTATCACAATCACAACTACATTCACTTCTCTCCCAAATAATTTTAAACAAAAAAAAAAACAAACACACACAACAAAACACAAAATCTAATATCAATCCATCATGGCCTATCAAAGTAAGAATCCCACTCATGCCTCTCAACATTCCCAAACACATTATATTTCCAAGAAAACTGCTCAGGAAAATCAAAAATCTCCTCATTCCCTTCCTCAATCTTCTTCCTTAACCCTTCCACTCTCTGCAACACTCCTTCCACAGCCACATCAAACGCATCTTCAAACCTTCCCACATCTCCTCTCTTACCAGACGGATTAAAATACATCAGCCTCGGAATCAATCTTATCACTTCTTCTCTCATCGCAACAACTTTCCCTCTCGGAATCCTACTCAAAATCTTCTCTATACTCGCTTTACCTTCTTTAACATTCTTCCCCGGTATAAAAACAGAATATTTCGAGATATCTTTAGGTAAATGCCAAATGTACTGCGCGTAAGCTGAACCGGGATGGAAGAAAACCGGTATGCAACCTGCTAGTATCGAGTCAAAAGTTGAGCGGCGCGTGTAGGAGTCACCAGGAGGTTGGAGACAGAACGTTGAGCTCAAGAAGAACTTCATGATCTGGTCGGGTTTGTAACATTTTTGAGAGCCAGAGACGCATTCAAGAAGCTTGCATTTTCTTCTGGAAGCTTTGCATTGGTCCATGATCTCTGATCTGATGCTGTCACCTAGGTTTGGACGTGGTGCACCTACAAAGGAGAATAAGTAACGACGTTTGATTCTTCTCATTCGGTTCTGCCATTGGAGGATCTCTGCGTTTGTTGAAGGGTGGAAATAGGTCGGGTAAGGAACTGCGAATCCGTGGTAGTTCCATGGGCTTGATTCGATTAGTAACATCGTCATATTTCTTATTTCTGGTAAGATCATTAACCTGGCTAGGTCACAAGAGAGAGACACAACTATGAGAAAGCTTGTCCAATAAAAAAACTAAAACATTCATTAGTTTATTATACTACGCTACACCTACATACTTTCTTGAATTTATTATACTATGACCATGCAATTTTTTTATGTTTTAAAGTTTTGAAGTGTGATGTATAAAGTTATTTTACCATTCATTCATCAAAAAATACCCTATAGTAACTTGTAAACGAAACATCATTAATTAATCTACTAAAACTAGTTTTTCGTTAATTATTTCATGTATATCTTGTAATAACATAATCAGTTCTCATACTTTATCACAATGTTATTCTTTCTAATTAACAGTACTTTTAAGTTTATATAGGATTGGTGGTTTACCTGTTTCCCCAATCGGATTCATTCTCTGGTGTACGCATAAAGTCCCAAGTGGTGCGACCAGCGACCATGAAATGATCTCGACCGTCCATTCTCTTCCACTCCGGTCTCTCCCTCAGCCACTTCATCAGATCAAGCGCAGCTGCATCCCTCATGAAAGGGAACGGTCCCCACAAAAACCGCATCAAGTCTAAACCGGGATAGTAAGGAACATAAACCGCAGAAGCTAGAGAAGAGTCTTTAGTCAAGCACTTGTACTGTTTCATCCTGTTGTGAAATATCACTTCCAATGTGAATTGGTTTGTGGCAAACCAACCAGAAACTCCCTCCATGTTTGGTAGGCGAGGGCCTAAACCGAAATTCGATGTTAACTCGCACATATCAGTCCACTTACTCAATGTCCAGCAATTCTTGAGAAGCTCTTCGTTGAACAAAGCTGGAACTTCGTGCATATACACGTATTTTCCTGCACATGGATCGTTGCGTCTCGTTTTTGGCCTTACTATAACGTTTCGGACTCTCCTAGGTTGGTTTCTCTTCGAGATTAGTCTGTTTCTTGCCTCTGAAGTACTATTATTCAATGCCAAATTGCTCTGAATCTTTTGTTCCGGTACTGTTTCCGAGGTGTTATCACCTTCAAGATCATTATTAGACCAATCATTAGGCAATTCATTTCCTCCTTTGCTCTCCAAATCATTGTTATCATCATCAACTCGCTCTTTCTTTGCCTCGAGAAAGCTCGGTTCTTTGTCGAATGATTGATCACTATTATCTACATTTCTCTCAACATCATCAGCATTAGAACGAACCCTTTTCTTCTCCTCCTCAGCTCTACTCGAAGATCTCGACTTTCTTGGTTCCCGATGTCCTCTCCTTGCCCTCGTGGACCGACCACTCAAAACCGAACCACCTCTCTTCTTCTCGCTCTCGACCTTTTCCTTCTCCAGTTCCTCAACGAGATCATTCACAACCTTTGCGTCTTCAGAAATCCGATCCTCGGGAGAAGAATCATCGCCGGGAACAGGAAGAGTTTTGTTATCGACGCCGGAGACAACAGGCTGGTCGGATTCGTGGTGTTCCGGGACAAGATCGATGACGTTTTCTTGTCGGAACAATCTCTCGTGGCTATGAACGGTTTTTGCGGAGGAATTGAAAAGGTAAAGCAAGAAAAGCCAGAGGAGGAAAGAGGCAATCGCCACGTACCAGAACTGTGTTCTGTACTTTGAGCTCGACTTCTCCATCGCCATCGCTCCTCTCCTATGTGGTTTTCTCATGCATTAGCCAAATCTCACCGATTTGTTGCGTGTGGCTTAAGAAATCGTGAAAGGGTGTGTTGATTATGAGGGATTTAGGGCTAAATGGATCTCTGGCAGATTCAGGAAACGAATGGACGCTGTGAGAGAGAGATGGGAGATTGTGAAGGTGTTGAAGCGTTCAAAGGTATAGGTTTTGTAGTAATTAATGAAAAGATTTGTCTTTTTCAACAAATTAAGCGTTAATTACTAACATTTGGAGGCATGTAAATAATCAAGATTCTCTCGTACATGTGTCCTTAATATGTGTTCAGGCTCCTAAAATTAAAGCTTCCTTTGGTTAATGTTAATTACTCGATGACATTAAGAAAGTATACACATTTATTAGAAAGTACCCGGATTTGGGTTAAAAAATATTGGGAAATGTATCTAAAAGGATATCTTTTTCAATCTTTGTGAAACTCAACTTTTTCTTTATAAGTTTGGTCAAATACCCATTTTCTTTAATACAAACCCAATAATATTTAATTTTAGGAAAAATAATTAACATCTTTGTAACATTATATAAATCATTTGATCGACCTTCGAATTCTAGTTCCTAGTATGGAGGAATTTTTTAACTATTGCAGTCGATGTTTCTCTTTATAGACAGTTCTAATGCTTTTGTTGATATTCTGAATTCTGAATTTCGGTCTTTTCATATCCAAACAGTTCGAATGTGATAAAGTTCATTATTCATACAGAGATTAGATAAAAATGCTAGTTTATCTCCCAAAAACATTGTCTAATCATTGATCAACTAAGTTATGATAAGAACGAAATCTCTGAGTTTCTTAGCTCAAAATAGAAATAGTTTTTAGATTTATGGTAGAGATTGAGTTGTAATTTGCAAGTAGAGAGTAAAAGAGAAGATGAGTTTGCAACGAATCTCCCATTGCTAAAGATCTTCTATATGCAACTTGATGAAACTAATCTCACATTATTACTAAAAATCTTTCATGCACAATTTGATGAAACTAATCTCCCATTGCTAAAGGTCTTAATTGTGTAATCCATTTGTAAATAAGGAAAGAAAAACATCCATCTCACATTTCTTCAAAGAGATACCAATCTCGACGCCACAAGGCTCATCCCTCCTCTTCGACATAGAGAACTGATTGTTCCTGTAAATGGACATAACTTCGGTATTAACGGGTCTTCCCCACCCGAAATCTGACCCGTATACCCCAAACTGGTTAGACCCGGTAATGGATAACACCTGTGTACCCGATTTCATGTTCTTTTGGCCTTCCTCGTACTGCTCCCATATTGATTCAACCTCTCTTGAACCGCAGCTTTTGACCGAATCGCTAAGAATCTTCACGCCATTAACGAATCCATCTTCTCCCAAAAAAGTTTTGGCTTTGTATTCTTTTAAAACGATGGATAAGACACAGTTTCCGAAATAGGTCTCAGGAACTACCGGGTCTAACCGGTTTCTGAAATCAGCAACGTACCTGAACCGAACAGGTCTATCTGCGTCCCCTCTACGAGTCTTCACCATGCAGGTCAACACATAGGCGTAAGTGACAACGAACGTCGACAAGTGAAGATCAGAGCCAGATGCCTCGTTCTTGGCGTGCTCCTTAAGTTTCTCGATGTTCTCTTGACTCAAACCTAGCGTGATCCGGACGACATCGTCGTCGATGTCTTTAAAGGGAGACAGTTTTAGTGTTCTTGCGCTGTCTTTGTCCTCTGCAAGACACGACATAAGTTCGAGCATCTTCAGTTCGAGTCCGGCTGGAACATTGATGACCGAACGGTCTAAGAGCATAGGTAAATGAAAATCTTGCGGTATAGTTCCGTGATTACAGATGTGAGCCCATGATTTGTGGAACTTAGCCCCCGTTTGGCCGTCCATGACGGCATGGTGGACTGTGGTTCCGATGCAGAAGCCTTGGTTTGGGAAAAGAGTGATTTGCACAGAAAAGACTGACGCAAAGTCAGAGGAAACTGGTAACTTGGGCACCATAGGGCTTAACTCAGTCTCGTGACGAAGCCCTTTGCCGGAGATAAAAGAGAAATCAGCGCTGGTCTCGGCCACTGTGAGAGAGATAGTGTCTCCCGGTAAGACGATGATGTGCGGCTTAGGATCTTGTGGGTACCACCTGAGGTGACCGGAGAGCGGGAGGAAATGTGTGAGGGCTAGAGAAAGGGATCGCTCGAGCTTGGGGAGGATCAATGAGTAGAAGCAGTCGCGAGATGACTCAGTGAGTCTGTAAAAGGTGAGTCGCTCTGTAGGGTTACGTTTTAGCCACATAAGATCAAAGAAAGTGAGTGGGATAATGAGCGGTTCGACCGAGTTGGTTGCAGGGCTGACTCGGGAGATCTTGATCACGTTTAACGCCATCGTTTGACCAAGATTATCTCACTTGTGCTCTCTCTGAGACCCACTCTTGAATTTGATGGAAGCTATATATTTATAATTATAATAACTCGTGAGGTTAGTAACTAATTATCATATGAATGATGCTTTTGGTAACGCAGCCATGTGGTGAGCACAAAGCAAACTATTCTTTCGCCTTTTACTAAAGAAAGATGCTTTTTTCGTGGGTCAAACCACTCCAACTTTTAAAGCGAAAGTTACTTAAATATTTGAACATTATAACGACATCTCATGAATTGCAAAAGCAACATGTATTAATGCTTATATAAATCCTGCCATCCCATGAATTATTGTTTCAGGCAAAAGGTTATCCAAGTAAGATACATCATTATGTGAGCCCAATATATAGAAGTGATTTACTACAGAGAGGATTCATCACTCATTAGACATTTGAAGCAACAGCCTTAACAAGTGTTCTTCCTTGTGCTATACTCTGATATAATCAGGAAAAAATGTTGTTTTGTACTAGTAGTGAAGCTAATATGCTAATAGGAGAAAGAAACTTGAAGCAATTTTAATGGCCTTGCATGTTAGACATCTAATCTAGCTGTTTTAACCATTTCATTATCTTTGGCTTATCGTTGCACTCACTGTTCTTTTTCATCTCTTACCTAACACTCTCTTTTAGGTCTTCTGTAACACGAAGACCGATTAACAAAGCTTATTTGTTGGAATTCATACCAGTTTATAAACGTTTTATAATAACTAATCACGAATTCAACTATCAGAAATAATGCAATTACTGAAAAATAGAAGGAGTAATATTTTGGAGTACGTAAAACAGAAAACAAATTCTAAATTATATTTTGGATTGAATAGGCAGAAAATGAATTCTCTAAACTACTTATATTATTTTTTTAACGAAAAACTACTTGTAATTAATATCTTAGATTAGATAAAACATAAAATTAATCTGAAACCACGTAAAATGTATTCCAAACTGCGTAAACTTGATTTAAAAAAAAAGTAAGTAAAACGTATATGCTCAAATGCGTAAACTAGCGAGGTGATGATTGAATGGGCACTTAGTTGGCACAGTTGCATCATGTGTTTCCCGTATTTTCATAGAAAGAGTATGCCTGAAATCATCTATATGAAAAAAAAAACATTAATTAGAAAAATTAGACTAGAGGTAAGCTTTTAGGAAAATAGAACTTTCAAAGTTGTTAATACTTTAGGGAGAATATGACATCCGATTTTTCTCGATTTGGAAACGCTTAATCTGAAGTTAGAGCAAAATTAATTAAAGAACTACAACCACTCTCCAAAGGAAAACAGAGAAACAAACATAAAGATCATAATCGAAGGATATTGGGATTAAATGTGGGTTAATGTTGAACAACTAATACCTAGAATAGTTCCAAAAAACAACAACAACTAATTATTATAGCCTTGAGACTCGAGTAAACTGAAATTATTGATAAGATATTTCTAGTGTGTCAAGATCTTCTTGTATACGTATGTGGAATTAATGATTAGTTACAATTATTTTAACGTGTTTGACGATTTTAGAAGCTAAGTCAAAATTTATCATTTGGATTCGAAGGTAAGGAACATATTTTCTGATTTACAAGAAACGGAAAAGAATATTTTCTATTTTCAACACTACTATACTATAATACAGCTACAATATATCATTACTAGATTAGATTAATATACTGTTGATCATGTGATGATTATTCAATTTCAGGCAATTGTCGCGCAATTAATATTCGAATCTTTCTTAAACTTAAATGTGATTTAATTCAGATAAAACTATATACTATAATGAAATCAAACGTTACTATATTTGCGTTAAATTCATTTAATTAGCTTGTTCACGAGGAATGCCCAAAAAGAGGAAAGACTATTGATTCATCTTCTCGACCTTCCCATCTGATTCCTTCGCTTCTGTAGAAACAATGTCGTGAAAAAGCTAGATCCTTTCTTTTAGGGTCTGTTTGTTTTTCTTCGATTCGGAGGAAGAAGAAGAAGAAATTCGGGGGGTTCGAAATGGTTCGCGATCGGCGAGAGGGTCTAGAGATCAAGGTGGTGGATCCGCCGACAAACAATGTGTCCGTACAAACTTCTCCGGCGACTCGCCGGCGGAGGCAACGCACTTCTTTCGCTGAGTTTCGGCCGTTTAAGCTTTGGTTTCCATGGCTGGTTCCAGCTATCGTGGTGGCTAACATTGCCCTCTTCGCCATTTCGATGTTCATCAACAATTGCCCTAAAAACTCGGCTAATTGCTCAGCTAGGTTTCTTGGGAGATTCGCATTTCAGCCTATGAAAGAAAATCCTCTTCTGGGTCCATCTTCTACGACGTGGGTAACCTAAAAGCTTTCAACTTTTTGACCCTTTCATTGAGAGAATTCGTGTTTCTGAGATTCGAAAAATGTTCGACTTTATTTGTTTCCTGGTGATTGGATTTATTATGTAGTGGTGGGTTCTTAATTTTTATTACTTTTTACCATTTTAGTTGACTTTGGATGTTGTCAAACTTCTGCTGAAAAAAGGATACTCTTTTTTAGATCTTAGATTGTGAGTATTAGTGAAAGATCTGGTGAATAAATTGGCAAAAGTGTTACTAATCACTGTGTTCTTTCATATCAGATTGGAGAAGATGGGTGCTTTAGATGTAACAATGGTGGTTCATAAGCATCAGGTGTGGCGCTTGTTCACCTGTATATGGCTACATGCCGGGGTTTTTCATGTCCTTGCCAACATGTTGAGCCTTATCTTTATCGGCATTCGTCTTGAGCAAGAATTTGGTTTTGGTATGGATCTTAAAAATTCTCTCAGGCTTTTATCTTTCTCCATTTATAAGGGATGAATAGGTTACTCTCAGTTTTGGCTCTTTCTCTCTTTAATGCAAGTCTAGAACTTCTGTGAGATTGCTGGGTCATGAGTTTGATTCATATGCCAAAAATGTATATGATGGTATGCTAAAGACTCGCTTTTTCTTTGACAGTACGCATTGGATTGCTTTACATGATCTCTGGATTTGGTGGAAGTTTGTTATCTTCTCTCTTCAACCGGAATGGTATATCTGTCGGTGCATCTGGTGCATTATTCGGTTTGCTTGGTGCTATGCTTTCAGAGCTGCTCACTAACTGGACTATATACGCAAATAAGGTAGCCAGGCCAGATTGAATAAACCCAATAAAAGAGAAAGAAGATGAAAAACTTCACTTTTTCTTCATGATTGATGTTGTCTAAAAGCTTACTCTTTTTTCTCCATTTGCAGTTTGCAGCTCTTTTGACTCTCATCTTCATCATAGCCATTAATTTAGCCGTAGGTATTCTTCCACATGTAGACAACTTTGCTCATCTTGGAGGATTCACTTCCGGGTTTCTTCTAGGCTTTGTTTTCTTGATCCGTCCTCAATATGGATACTTCAACCAGAGGAACAACCCTCGTGGCTACGCTGCACCGTCTGCTAAATCCAAACACAAGCCATACCAATACGTTCTCTGGATCACTTCTTTAGTGCTTTTGATAGCAGGGTATGTTTCTTTTATCCCACTTACAAAATGAAATACAGGTTCCAAGTCAGATCTTTGATGCAAATTTATGAAATATTTTGTTAGATATACCATTGGACTCGTAGTGCTTCTTCGAGGGACGGATTTGAACAAGCATTGTTCATGGTGCCATTATCTCAGTTGTATCCCTACGTCGCTATGGAGCTGTAAATCTCAAAATGTGTACTGTGAGGTAAGAACGTTTCATATCTCGGATCTTTCTGTGTTCTTGAGTTTAGTAAAAGCTAAAGAATGATTGTGGAATTGGTGATTTTGGTGCAGTCGAGCCAGATTGGGAAGCAGATGAATTTGACATGTATTGCTAATGGGAGAACAGAGATGTATAAGCTAGCTAGCGATAACCCGTCTCAGATTCAGCAGTTGTGTTCCCAATTATGCAGCTGATTCCACTAAACATCTCAATTTTTTTTCTTTTTACTCTGTAGAAAGTAGGAATGTTCATTTAATTTGATCAATGCACTTGTGAATCACACAAGTTGTGATTGTTCTTTCTGATCATTATCCGGTTCCACTTCTTGTTTTACTGCATATGTATGACCATATATATTGAAACATAAGTGGTGAAAGAGAAAGTTGAACAGAGTTTTTTTTTTATGAAATCATTTTAATTAATTTTGTTTAAGTCTTTTAATTGTACTCTAATCAAATGATTATAAAAATATTACATATTTTTATTTGGTTCATATGAAATATGTTTTAAGTTAAAATGCGAGTGCGAACATCTTACTGGTATTTACTTTATGGTCAAATTACATTATTTTTTGCATAAATATTTGCTAAAAAGTCTAATACAATAAAACAAAAAACAAAAGTCATAAAATATCTTACCTATAGGAACAGAAAGAGTATTCCATTTTTTTTTTGGTTTTTTGCTAAAAATTATTACAATTTTGCTTGATATTATGCATTGTTTGGTTTTCTGGGAGTGCATGTAATGATATTTTTAATGCATGATATCTTAGTGGCAATTCAAAAGTTGAAATTGATTACTTAAAAGTATCTAATCATATGTCTTAGATGGTTAGTGCGAATATGATAATCCCACCACCTGACTTTGACAGTATAACACATCGACAAACATATGTATTTTCTTTCTTTAATATATAACGGATTACAATGAGATTTGAGTTGATCATCTTTATGAGTTTTTGTGGCCTTAAAGTAAATCTTAGGAAATTATGGAAAATAATATCTTCATTACAAACAAATACATATTTAGATCGAAGAAATTGCTGACAAACAATTTGTTGTTCTTATGGATGATGCGGTAAGGATTACACTGATGTACTGGTTATCAATCATGAAAAGAAGTGAAGAAAAGATAGATTTAAATTTTTAACTATACATCTTTTATTGCTGAAAAATTTCCTCTTTAAGTAAATTGGAAACAGATATATAAGATTAAGCGCAATTTGCAATTTGCACCATGGGAGACCACATATACCGATACGACAAAAGTCTAGCCATATGGTTCGGCACACCGCACACGGACAACAAAACGGAAGCCAATGTTCCATCGGAAGTTTTCTTCACTAAATACAAAACGCTACATTCATATAAAAAAAGTTTTTTTCGGATTGAATAAATTTATATTCAATTTAAAAGAAAAAAAAATTTTAAGCTAATTTTTTTAAAAGGATTTTCTTATGAATTCTAGTGTTATCTGAATCAAAATTACATAATCGTAGGATTGTAGCTGATTATCATTTGATGTAAAAATTACAGAATCATAATTTGACACTAAATTTACAAAAACCGAATGCCGCCAAATTGTCAAAAAGTATAGTCGTGATTGTTGTTGTAATTTAACACCACATAATTTTTTTTTTTTTTGATACAACAAAAAATAAACTCGAATGGAAGGAAGTTTCCTGCCGAGTGGATTTCTGATTCATATAAAGAAACACAGTACGGATAAAATGTTTCTTATTAAGTAATTGAAATTTTTTTATCTTTCATCCTTTTGTTCTTCTTCTCTATAGTTTATTTATACATTAAAAAATTCATCTCCAACACTTACACAGACCATTTCTTCCTACACAAAGCTTTCTTTCATAGTATCTGAATCGGCGCATCTTAATCTAAACAGGTACGCTTGCAAAACTTTTTTATTTATCATAATCCTTGGGACTAACAAGCATCACCGTTTTTGATTAGATTCTCTGTTTTTTTTTTTTTTTGCTGTTAATTATCTTGATCAGGGAGAGAAAAAGAAAGATTCAACCTTTTTTTCTCTCGGAGACTTTGAGGATTAACGATTTGCAGTTTCTTGTGGAACAATTTCTAGGGCTTATTAGGGTTCTTGAGAAAGCTATGGGTTCTTACTCTGCTGGATTTCCTGGATCCTTTGACAACTTTGATTTCAATTACCAGACCGATTTTACCGGTTTAGGAAACGGATTCTATCTGAATGATCAACCTTTGTTAGAAATTCCATCTCCTCTTCCTCCTCTTCCTCCTTCAGAGCCATATTCTCAACATAATCTTGCTGCTTGTGATGCTGATTTCTCTGATTCGGTTCTGAAATACATAAGTCAAGTGCTTATGGAAGAAGACATGGAGGAGAAGGCTTGTATGTTTCATGATGCTTTGTCTCTTCAAGCAGCTGAGAAGTCTCTTTATGAAGCTCTCGGTGAAAAGTACCCGGATTCTCAGCCTCTGACTACTACTACTACAAGCACTGTTCCATTGGTTGATAGTCCTGATGGTTCTTCTTCAACTTATGCCTCAAGCACCACAACTTCCTCTGATTGGAGTTTTGATTGTTTGGAGAATAACAGGCCTTCTTGGTTACACACACCAATCCCGAGCAACTTCGTTTTCAACTCTACTTCTTCTACTAGATCCAGTCCACAGTCTGTTGGTGGTGATAATGCGGTGTTGGGGTCAAGTTTTAGCGATGATTTGGTTTCTAATATGTTTAACGACAGTGAATTAGCGTTTCAATTCAAGAGAGGAGTGGAGGAAGCTAGTAAGTTCCTTCCCAAGAGTTCTCAGTTGGTTATAGATGTGGAAAATTACATCCCTGCTTCCAGATCCAAGGCAAATGAACCTAAGGAGCTAAACTCTGTTCCTCACAGATTGACCGGAAAGAAAAGCCACTGTCGTGAAGATGAACTCTTGACTGAAGAAAGAAGTAAGAAGCAATCAGCTGTTTCTGTTGATGAAACTGAGCTGTCTGAAATGTTTGACAAGATTCTTCTATTTGGCCGGCCTAAAGAGAAACCTCTATGCATTCTTCAAGAGAATTTCCCAAAGGAACCGGCGAAATCCTCACCGTTAAGTAAGGGTCATAAAGGCGAGGCAACACAGGCACAGAGACCAGCTGCTAGTAGTGGTAACAGTTATATGAAAGAGACACCTGATTTGAGAACCCTTTTGGTTTCATGTGCTCAAGCTGTGTCGGTTAATGACCGTAGAACGGCTGAAGAATTGTTAAGACAGGTCAGGCAACATTCTTCATCTTACGGAGATGGAACAGAGAGATTAGCTCATTACTTCGCAAACAGTCTTGAAGCACGCTTGGCTGGTATAGGAACTCAGGTTTACACCGCCTTGTCTTCCAAGAAAACATCTGCTTCCGACATGTTGAAAGCTTACCAGACATACATATCGGTCTGCCCGTTCAAGAAAACCGCAATCATTTTCGCTAACCACAACATCATGCACTTGAGTACCAACGCCAAAACCATCCACATCATAGACTTTGGCATATCTTATGGTTTCCAGTGGCCTCCTCTGATTCATCGCCTTGCTTGGAGACGTGGTTCATCGTGTAAGCTTAGGATAACCGGTATAGAGCTGCCTCAACGAGGGTTTAGACCAGCCGAGGGAGTTATTGAGACGGGCCATCGCTTGGCTAGGTATTGCCAGAGGTATAATGTTCCATTTGAGTACAATGGGATTGCGCAGAAATGCGAGACAATAAGAGTGGAAGACTTGAAGCTAAGAGAAGGCGAGTTTGTGGCTGTAAACTCTCTCTTTCGGTTTAGGAACCTCTTAGATGAAACGGTGGCAGTGCATAGCCCGAGGGATACGGTTCTGAAGCTGATAAAGAAGATAAAACCAGACGTGTTTATCCCTTCGATCTTAAGCGGATCCTACAATGCGCCTTTCTTTGTCACCAGGTTTAGAGAAGTCATGTTTCATTACTCGTCTTTGTTTGACATGTGTGACACGAATCTAACACGAGAAGATCCAATGAGGGTTATGTTTGAGAAAGAGTTCTATGGGAGAGAGATCATGAACGTGGTGGCTTGCGAGGGGACAGAGAGAGTAGAGAGGCCAGAGAGTTATAAGCAGTGGCAGGCTAGGGCGATGAGAGCTGGGTTTAGACAGCTTCCGCTTGAGAAAGAGCTGGTCCAGAAACTGAAGTTGATGGTGGAAAGTGGATACAAAAGCAAAGAGTTTGATGTTGATCAAGATGGTAACTGGTTGCTTCAGGGCTGGAAAGGCAGGATTGTGTATGCTTCATCCACTTGGGTTCCTTTGTAGACGTTTTGTCTTATATCCCAAGAAACTGATTCTCTCTATATAGGGTTTGTTGTCTCTTTGTTCACACATGACATTCAGCATTCAGATTTGTATATTTGTACAGGTTTAGGTTTCTGTTTCGGTAACATAATCAGGTTAAGATTTTGATCCTCGTATGTTTTCGAGCTTAACGAATTTTCTAATGGGTCTAAAGCATATTTTGAATGGCCAAACAAATGAGAACCATTAGTTCAATACTACTTGATTATCTAAATGAGACTTTGACGTAATTGGTTCGGATTAGTCAGTAAAATCTTGGCCAAGCACTTATTCTTTAGTGTTTAATGAATACGTTGAGAGTATACATAGGGAAAGTGTTAAAAAAAAAATCTCAAATTTCGGAGAGGTTATAATCTTGGAACGATTCAGCTAAAAAATTTCAAATTTCAGTTAATCAGTTAGCATTTTTTTTCTTTTTTTTAACATTTTCATATGAATTTAATATTTTTTAAAGATTACTAAATTTTGCGCACACGCTACGCGTAGGTATTTTTGTTAATAAAAGTTATATACAATTAATTATATTTATTCAGATATAATTTTATAAATCAATGTTTAATAATGTATTAAAAATACGATGGTGTTAATCTAATAATTTGAGGTTTTAACGGTTTTGTTCTAACTATATATAGAATATATCATATTTCAAAAATATATTATTTGATCAAGCATTTGTAAGTTAATATACCCAAACCAATTAAATTTTTACAAATTAATAAAATTGTACTTTTTAAAACATAGAATTGATATGAAGATAAAATATTATACATTATTTTTTATATCATGAAGATAATTGTTTTTCATCATATTCAGTTTTATTCCAATTATATATGTGGTCTTTAAAAATAATAAAAAAAAATTATTTTAATATTTTTTCTTCTCTTTTTTAACTGATACAAATTTTATTTTGGTATATTAATTTTAAAAACAAACTAATAAATAAAATGTTTGCTTTGAGATTAATAATTTAAATTTGAAACCAAAATAATAGTTGAATATTAAATAATTAATCACATAAAATTTATGAATTAAATATATTTTTTTCAACTGGTTGTATAAATGTTTAAATTATTTTCAATGATTATACGTCATCTCTTTCAATAAGAATAAAATTTTTATTCATCATGTTCATTTTTATTCTTGTTATATCTTTTTTTAATGAATATATCATATTTATTTATTTTAATGATTTTTGTATAACTATATTTAATTCCATATTATTTATTCTTATTTCTTCTAATTATAATTAAGTAGGCAAAGCTGGTACAATTTGATAAAAAGATTTAAAAAATAAAATAATAAATAAAACAGCTCAAAACAAAAAATTTATACATTAATCTATTGCAATTCCAAGTCGAATACACACAATGTAATTTTTTCGATCATTTTTCTGTAATATATTACATGAGATTATGTGAAAATATATTTTGCATATGTGAAAAAAAATTAAAGTTATACAAATTATAATTATTAGTTATTTAAAAATCTACGTAAAAAACCTTTAAATCAAGTAACCTTAACTTGTATAAGTAACATATATTTTTAGAAATAATAAATTAAATTTGTAACTTAAACAGTGATACTGAAAATTTTAATATCATGTTGTTTTCTTTTGTTTATAGAGATTTCTTTATTCTTTAATTTATTTTCTTAATCATAATAATATAATTGGGAAACTTTATTAAATTGACAATTTTGATATATACGAATAAAATTTAATTTTTAAATGCTGATTTGGATGTCTTAAAAATAATATATCTTTAACTGTTATTAATAATAAAATCATTTGAATTAACAATTTTTCTTATATTGTTTTGTCTTATCAATGTGATTTTATAATTTATAAATTTTTTTAAAATTTTAGTTATTGATGTATACTAATAAAATTGACCTTTTAAATCTTATGTAGATGTGCTTAGAAGTATATAGCTTTAATTTTCTATAAATATATGTTTTTGTTAATAATATAATTTTAAATTTTGGATTTTTTTTAGATTTTAAATATTGATGTAGACCAATAAAATTGACCTTTTAAATTGTATCTGGACATTCTTAAAGGCATATAGCTTTAACTTTATTAATAATAGATTAAGAAATCAAAGCTAAAAGATCCCACACGAGGCAAATGATTTTGGTCACTCCTTGTTTTGAGGCTTACCGAGTGTATTCGGATGCTGCTTGGTCAGCTAATTGTTACATTTGTGGTTAACGTTAGGTTGTTAAAATCTCATCAGATGCCATTTTATTTCAAAAATCTTCATTGGATACCTCAGTCTTTGTCTTAATGACGAACCTCTTTCTTTATTTTCAGTGCTTTGTTTTTTAAAAGTGTCATAATTTTGGTATCTCCTCCTTATTTTGAGGTTTACTGTTCAGATGTTGCTTGGTCAGCTATTGTTACCTTTTCGGTTAAGGTTAAGTTGTTAAAATCCCATCTGATGCCATATTATTTCAAAAATCTTCATCGGATACCTAAGTATATTTCGTCTTAATGATGTAACCTCTTTCTCTATTTTCAGTGTTTCGTTTTTCAAAAGTGTTAAGTATCAGTCACTTAACATGTTTCTCGGATTGCTTGAAATTTATCATTTTTTCAAATTCGGTGGCCAAACTTTGGAGATTTTACGGTTTCTTTTTCAATATTAAAGCAACTTGTAATGACTTTGTTTATATCTCCTTTCATTATAGTTAAACATATAGTTTAATCAAGTTGGTTCTTTGACATTGCAATGAAACCTAACTCTATTTTTTATTTTTTTTGTTTTTATTTGAAATGGTTGCACACACAGAAAAAAAAAAACTTAAAATTTATTATAGTTATGTGACAAAAATTTTGATGCTAACGTAAAAGTTTCTAAATATGTGTGTATACATATAATTTAAATTTAAATTTTCCTTTTTAATATGATTTGTTTTAGTTTTTTTTTATTTTTAATATAAAGTTTGTATATAATTTCTTTATCTTTAATAATTTTTAAAAACAATAATAGAATTTGGAAACTTTTTAATTTTCAATGTTGAGTTGGACCAATAAAAAAATTATACAGAATTTCTTTATCCAGCAATAATATTTGAATTTGTAAATTTTCATAATTTCTTTATTCAGCAATAATATAGAATTTGTAAACTTTCTTTAATTTTTGAATGATGATGTGGACCAATAGAATTACACTTTTAAATCCTATGTGGACACCCTTAGAAGCATTTAGCTTCAATTTTTATTAGTATATATAAGACTAGATTTTACGTCCACGATACGCGTGGATATTTTGTTGATAAAAATTATATGTAATTAATTCTATTTATTAAGATATAAATTTTATATATTAGTGATTTAATAATATAAAAATATTATGATGTTAATATAATAATTTTTATGTAAATTTTGAGATTTAACGGTTTTGTTTTAAATTTATATAGAGTATGTCATATTTCAAAAACGTATTATTTGGTCAAACACTTATAAGTTAATATACCCAAATCAACTAATTTTTTTATAAATTAATCAAATGGTACTTATTAAACATAATATGGACATGATGATAAAATATTATACATTCACTTTTTTAAATCATGAAAATAATTTTTCATCATTTTCACTTTTCTTCCAATTATATATGTATTTTTTAAAACTAATAATAAAATTTAATATTTTTTCTTCTCTTGTTTAACCGATACAAATTTTTATTTTGTTATATTAATTTAAAAAATAAATTAATAAATAAAATATTTGCTTTAAGATTAATAACAATTTTAAAAATTAGTAAAGCTTTTTAAATTATAATTCTAGCTAGTGATTACGCAAAGATACTTACTATGATTTTAAATAATTAAATTATAATTTATTCTTTTTACGTATCTTTTTAAATTACTAAATCATAGTAAGTATCTTTCGAGATTTTTTATTCTTTAATTTCTTTTCTTAATAGAATTAGGAAATTTTTTAAAATTTACAATTTTGATATATACGAACAAAATTTAATTTTTAAATGCTGATGTAGATGCCTTGAAAATAATATAGCTATAACTGTTATTCATAATAGAATAGTTTTAATTAACAATTTTTTTCTATATTGTTTTGTATTAACAATGTAATTTTATAATTTTTTTTTTAATTTTAGTTATTGATGTACACTAATAAAATTGACCTTTTAAATCTTATGTGGATGTCTTTAGAGGCATATAACTTCAATTTTTATTTTTCTATAAATATATATTTTTGTTAACCATATAATTTTAAATTTTTTAAAAAATTATAATTTTAAATATTAATGTGGACCAATAAAATTGAACTTTTATATCATATGTGGACATTCTTAGATGCATATAGCTTTTAATTTTTTTTAATAATAGATTTAGAAATCAAAGTTGGAAGATCCCACACGAGGCAAGTGATTATGGTCTCTCCTTGTTTTGAGGCTTACCGAATATATTTGGATGCTGCTTGGTCATCTAATTGTTACCTTTTTGGTAACGTTAGGTTGTTAAAACCCCATCAGATGCCATGTTATTTCAAAAATCTTCCTCGGATACCTCAATCTTCGGCTTAATGACAGAACTTCTTTCTTTATTTTCAGTGCTTCGTTTTTTAAAAGTGTCATGATTTTGGTCTCGTCTCCTTGTTTTAAGGCTTACCGAATGTATTTGGATGCTGCTTGGTCAGCTAATTGTTACTTTTGTGGTTAATGTTAGATTGTTAAAACTGTATCAGATGTCATGTTATTTCAAAAATCTTCTTCAAATACCTCAATCTCCTTCGTCTTAATGATGGAACCTCTTTCTCTATTTTCAGTGCTTTGTTTTTTAAAATTGTCGAGTATTAATCACTTGATATGTTTCTCGGATTGCTTGAAATTTATCATTCTTCTCAAATTCGATGACCAAGCTTTGAAGATTTTTCGGTCTCTTTTTCGATATTAAAGCGGCTTGTAATGGCTTTGTTATATCTCGTTTCATTATATTCTTTGTAATTTAGCTAATAGTTAAACTTATAGTTTAGCCAAGTTGGTTCTTTTACGTTGTAATGACTCATTTTTGTGTGAAACCTAACTCTATTTTTTTTGTTTTTTGTATTTGAAATGGTTGCACACACAGAAAAAAAACTTAAAAATTATTATAGTTATGTGACAAAAATTTGGATATCTCTAAATATGAGGAAAAAGGCCGATTAATACCTCAACACCATCATCTGGTACCAATAAATACCCAAACAATTTTGATAGGTTAATCAATACCTGAACTTATTAAAATCGGTAAATACATACCGATTATAATGTTTTTTGGCCAATTAGTGCATTGACTTTCTCTCTGTTAGTCAAACCCGTTAAATTGCAAACGGAATCCGACTCAGATGCCACGGTGGATGCTGTGTTCGAATGAAACCAATACGACGTCATTTAAAGTTAAAAATCAGGGGAAAAAGACAAAAACGACGTTGTTTTAAATTTATTATATATTAAAAAAAATCAAAATTGAAATTTTCGATTTGATTTTCCGAAAGTGTTTGAATCAAAATCAAAACCAAAATTGCAAACCTAAACCTACCATCAATCTCCGAAGAAGCTAGCATTCGACGATGAAGTCATTCCGATTTGATTTTGAACACCACCCAAATCCTAACTATCGATGTTTTTCTCCCACGAAAAAAGATATAGATGGTGTATTTTTTTTTTAAGGATAATAAATTTAAAATGACGTCGTTTTTGTCTTTTTCCAGATTTTTAACCTTAAACGGCATCGTATTGGTTTCATTCGAATAGAGCATCCACGGTGGTATCCAAGTCGGATTCCTTTTGCAAGTTAACAGGTTTGACTAACAGACATAAAGTCAATGTACTTATTGGCCACAAAAATTTTGTTATGGTATGTATTTACCGATTTTAATAAGTTCAGGTACTGATTAACCTATCAAAATTGTTTGGGTATTTATTGGTACCAGATGATGGTGTTGAGGTACTAATCGGTCTTTTTTCCCCTCTAAATATGTGTGTATACATCTAATTTAAATTTAAAATTTTCTATTTCAATATTATTTATTTTAGTTTTTTATTATTAACAAAAAATTTATATATAATTTCTTTATCTTTAATAATTTTTAAAAATAATAATGGAATTTGAAAAAAAAATTAATTTTCAATGTTGAGGTGGACCAATAAAAAAATTATATGGAATTTTTTTTATTCAGCAATAATTAGAATTTGTATACTTTCTTAATTTCCTTATTCAGCAATAATATTATAATTTGTAAAATTTCCTGATTTTGAATATTGATGTGGACCAATAAAATTACCTTTTAAAATCCTATGTGGACACCATCTAAAGAATCTCTTTCTCTATTTTAAGTGCTTTGTTTTTCAAAAGTATCATGATATTAGTCTCTCCTCCTTGTTTTGAGGCTTACTGAATGTATTCAGATGCTGTTTGGTCAGCTAATTGTTACCTTTGTGGTTAAAGTTATGTTGTTAAAACTCCATCAAATATCATGTTATTTCAAAAATCTTCCTTGGATACCTGAGTCTCCTTTGTCTTAATGACATAACCTCTTTCTCAATTTTTAGTGCTTCGTTTTTCAAAAGTTTTGAGTACCAGTCACTAGTACCAATCACTTGACATGTTTCTCGGATTGTTTAGAATTTATCATTTTTCTCAAATTTGGTGGTCAAGCTTTGGAGATTTTATGATCTCCTATTTTAATATTATTTATTTTAGGTTTTTTATTATTAATAGAAAGTTTATGTATAATTTCTTTATCTTAATAATTTTAAAAAAATAATAATAGAATTTGAAAACTTTTTAATTTTCAATGTCGAAGTGGACCAATAAAAAATTTATACAGAATTTTTTATTTAGCAATAATATTAGAATTTATAAACTTTCTTAATTTATTTATTCAACAATAATATTAAAAATTTGTAAATTTTCCTTATTTTTTAATGCTGATGTGGACTAATAAAATTACCCTTTAAAATTTTATGTGGACATCATTAAAAGCATTTAGCTTCAACTTTTATTAGTATAAGATTTCGCCATTTCACAAGTTATAAGTAGATTAATTCATTTCACAAAAAAAATTTCCACCCAAGATTTACCAATCAAAGTTTTTATCTTGAAACTGTCGTGAGTTTGTGGAATGAATGAAGTTTTGAATTTTAAGATTTAAGGCCCTAAGACCATGTACATCAAAGAAACTCAAAGAGTGATCCTTAATAATATTTTAATTTTTTTTTGGTGTTAAGAAAAATTAACAAACTCTCATACTTTTCTTCATTCATTAGTGAACCTGAGAAGGGTTTCTTATGAATAAAAAATAATATTTATAAAAAAAAAATATTCAATAATTTGATTTAAAATTTAAACATACAATACATATAAAAGAAGATTTTAAAACATGACATAAAATTTTAAAAATACAAAGAACAGATATTTAAATTATAGAACATGTAAGTTTTATTCTTGAGAAGTTCCAAACTTGTAGACATGCTCAATCAAATCCGCTTTCAAACGGTCATGCATTTTTCTATCACGTATATCATTTCGATTGCTGATTAAATTGGTGAGGTTTGTAGGCATATTCATAGAGTACGTCATGTCTACTTCTGAAGTTCTGTTTGATTCTCCTTGTTGGAATTCTTGAATGTTATATTGGGTGTAGCCACTTCGTTCGTTTTCTACTATCATGTTGTGTAGTATGATAGATGCTCGCATAATTTTTCCAATTTTTTCCTTATCCCAGAAAAGAGCTGGATTTCTGACGATTGCAAATCGGGCTTGTAGAACTCCAAAAACACGCTCGACATCTTTTCGGTAGGATTCTTGAGCCGTAGCAAAACGTGTTGCCTTATCACCTTCAGGAATTGGAATAGATGGTATAACCGAGACTTAACTATGAAACTAACTACTTTTTAAGTTCTTGTAAGGAATGAACTAACCTCTTCAGAATGAACAATCCTATGTACTGGATCATGTGAGCTTGCAAAGCCAACCACCCTGCCAAACGAAATAACCAAATTATCATAGACAACACTCACAAAATTAAAAGTATCGGTGAAGATGAAACAGCTTATGAAGATGAAATACCTTGAAGAAAATCAGGAATCATCATCACCATCATTATGCATCCTCATCATCTCACCATTAACCCTCGCAAAACAATTACAAACCCAAATACCTTAGCATTGTCGATCAATGAAAAACCCAAAAAATCTACACAATACACCAAATTCGATCACTGAATGCTTAAGAACGTCTTCAAACAACACTAAAATCAACTATTAATCATTCAAATTACAGGAATATCGCTTACAACAAAATTCCCCAATCCAAATTACAACTCAACTACAGCGATCAAAGAATAGACAATCAAATATAAAATCTATACAAAAGTCGAACAATATATGCATAAAAACGTCGCAATACAACTCTAATGTCGACGATTACTCATCCAAATTCCAAATTTATCGATTACACCAAAAATTCCCAATTTAATCTTCAAACCCAAACCCTAATTTCAAAGAGATGAATAATAACAAGGGAAAACAGACTAACCTTGACGAATCCATGCCGGAATCTTCGTAACTCATCCGTTCACGTCTTCGCTTGCTCCGTTACAGTCAGAATCCTCATCGCCTTCAACAGAAAAATCGTCAATGTCGACGAGGGAGAGAAAGAAATTTTCTTCCAGAAATTTTTGTTTGCCCGATACACATCTTTCCTCAGAACCAATAAAGACTTAACACGTGGTTTATAAAACTTGTATGGATCGGTCCATAAATTACCTCTGCAAGGACCGATCCATAATAAATAAGTTTTTATTTATTTATTTAAATTATGAAAATGGGTTTACAAACCCTTAACAAACTTCTAACAAACTTTAATGGACATGCTCTAAGAAAGTTTTCAACTTTCATCAATGGAACAAAAAATTGGGCCGGAAAAAGCCTTAATTTACAGAGACATGAGACAAGTCAAAAGAACTACCACCAAAGATTCGTTTGACTTTCTGGGGACGAGTCGCAAGACTTGTCTCCTCTCTAGACCACTTCTTTCCTGAAAAAAAAAAAACTTCATCCGTCCTAAAAACCACAAATACATCCGTAATAATCTAAAAGACCACTGCTTTTTTTTTTACCTCGTACCTCAGATTGTTTCACACTTCATCAACTTAAGGTAAGCAATGACATCGATTTCCCGTTTTTCCCGTGTTTTTATCTCTGCTTATGTAATAGAAAGTTTGAATTTTCCTTCTTTTTTGATTTAACCTTCACCATCCTCTGTTTCTGTTCTTCTTTAGGTAGCTTATGTGGGTGTTTTGTTTTCTGCAGAGCAACCAATTTTGTCGATTAGGGTTTTGATAATGGATCCAAACTTGGAGTATTACGACGAGAGTATCTTACTAAACCCGAATCTTGATTCATTCTCATCTCTTGATTTCGATCAAAACCCTAATTTTCTTACTGATCCAACTGAGAGACAGTATTATCCTCCATCATCTGATGAAAACGATTCATCAAACACACTGCTGAAATACGTGAGCCAGATCCTTATGGAAGAGAGTATTGGTGATAAGCAATCTATGTTCTACGATTCATTAGCTTTACGAAAAACGGAAGAAATGTTGCAGCAAGTGATTACTGATTCCCAAGCTCACTCCTTTAGCTCTGATTCGATGATTACTACAACCACTAGTGATGAGTTTTGGAAAAGTAGTAGTAGTAGCAGCATCGATTCCTCTGGTTCCGCAAAAATCGGTACTCGTCCACTTGTGAATGAGATTCTGGTTAAGAGTATGTTTAGTGATGCAGAATCAGCTCTACAGTTCAAGAAAGGGCTTGAAGAAGCTAGCAAGTTCCTTCCTAATAGTGACCAATGGGTTATGAATCTTGAAACCGAGAAGCCCGTTTCTGTTAAACAGGAGATTGGATTGTCTGATCAGTCAAGAGTTAAGAAGAATCATGAAAGAGAAGTTCTTGATTTCGAGGAAACTAGGAGCAGTAAGCAATCTGCAGGGAATGTGGAAGATGGGAAGATAACTGATATGTTTGATAAGGTTTTGCTTCTTGACGATGAATGTGATCCACCAACAGTGTTAGAGGATAAGAAGAGAGGAGAGATAAAGAAGAAGAAGAACAAGAACAAGAAGAGTAGTAGTGGCCACGTGGTTGATTTCCGCACGCTTCTCACTCTATGCGCACAAGCCATTTCCACAGGTGATAAAACCACAGCTCTTGATTTACTGTTCCAGATTAGGCAACAATCCTCTCCTCTAGGTGACGCGTTACAGAGACTCGCTCATTGTTTCGCAAACGCGCTCGAGGCTCGTTTACAAGGAAGCACCGGTCCAATGATCCAAACCTATTACGATGCTATAACCTCTTTGAAAGAAACCGCTGCAGATACACTCAAAGCGTACAGAGTCTATCTATCTTCGTCTCCGTTTGTCACTTTAATGTACTTCTTCTCCTTTAGGATGATCCTAGACGCGGCTAAAGACGCATCTGTTCTTCACATAGTCGATTTCGGTATCCTCTACGGGTTTCAATGGCCTATGTTCATCCAATACATATCGAACCGGAAAGACGTGCCAAGAAAGCTACGTATCACCGGTATAGAGCTTCCTCAACGCGGTTTACGTCCTGCGGAACGTATAGAGGAGACCGGACGTAGATTGGCTGAGTACTGTGACCGGTTTAACGTACCGTTCGAGTACAAAGCCATTGCTTCTCAGAACTGGGAAACAATCCGGATTCAAGATCTTGATATAAGACCAAACGAAGTTTTAGCGGTTAATGCAGGACTCAGGCTCAAGAACCTTCAAGATGAGACAGGAGGTGAAGAGAATTGCCCGAGAGACGCTGTTTTGAAGCTGATAAGGAGCATGAACCCTGACGTTTTTGTTCACTCGATAGTCAACGGTTCGTTCAACGCACCGTTCTTTACATCCCGGTTTAAAGAAGCGGTTTACCATTACTCTGCGCTTTTCGATATGTTTGATTCGACGTTGCCTAGGGATAACCAAGAAAGGATTAGGTTCGAGAGGGAGTTTTATGGAAGAGAGGCGATGAATGTGATAGCTTGTGAGGAAGGGGATAGGGTGGAGAGACCGGAGACGTATAGGCAGTGGCAGGTGAGGATGGTTAGGGCCGGTTTTCGACAGAAACCGGTTAAGGCTGAGATGGTTGAGTTGTTTAGGGAGAAGCTGAAGAAATGGAGGTATCATAAAGATTTTGTGGTTGATGAAAATAGTAAATGGTTGTTACAAGGCTGGAAAGGCCGGACTCTTTATGCTTCTTCGTGTTGGGTTCCTTCCTAGTGATGAATGATGATGATAAGTGTTTTAGTTTTGTAACAAAAAAAATCATGTAATCTTAGGAATATATATGTTAGGTTTTTCAAGAATCTTTAGCTCAAATATTTGTACAGTATATATAGTTGTTATACAGTATTTGTATGAGAAGTGTAACATAATAAGTGAACTTGAGATTTTAACAGAGCCATTCTTGAAAATAGCCTATCATGAAATTAACTTGTTTAGATAGATCTCTCTGATTGGTAATAATGCGTAAGGAATGGTGGAAATATAACTGTGAAATAAAAATTGTGCGAGTATATAAATTGCGGAATCACGGAATAAAAACTATCTTGAATCAAATAAATATCTGAAATAATTTCACAACTAATCTATTTGGAATCCTCTTTTCTGTTTGATGACTGTTTTTTGTTTTTAAGCAAAAACACATAATGCATTTGTGTTTAATTTTTTTATGCTGCAGATTTTTTTATTGGAGAATTACTTGTGAAATCGTATTTAAAATGCAGTTTACCAATCAGAGAGTTTTTTTGGGTGAATCCTCAATTTTTTTCTTGTGATGTACTTTATATAATTAATTAAAGGCAATATAACTGAATTATAGTAATTAGTAACCTTCCATTTTAAAACAAAGTTAAATTCCACGTAGGATTACTTGGGCCGAGAAGTTATAGTCTTGGCAGTAAATAACCCAATTCTTGTACGCCACGTGTATATACCTTGATACATACGATCCCTTGTAAAACCTATAAAAGAATCTCTTCTCAATCAAAACTACTTTCCAAGTTTTCAGCTCCGATCTGCTCATTGACTACTCCTTGAGAAGAAGAAGAATCCAAAGTTTCTACCACCTTCGAGCTTCAAAAATCCTACAATCAGATCCTTTGTTTCTCGTCTTGGGTACGGTTGATTAAGTAGTTCTAGTAAACTTCATCGTTTAAAACCCAAAAAATCCTCAGGATTATCCCCATCATCTGTTTCGTTTGTTTAGTTGTTTTTGACTCAATCTGGATTCATCGACTTAGGTTCATAAGTTTGGTTTTGATCTGTATTTTAAGCTTTTCGATGATTGCCTTTGATTTTCATTTTTCTGTAGAGATCTTATCTTTTCGTGTTTGAATAGAAATTTGTCAGTTAAAATTCGGATTTGAACATCTTATGTGATTCTGAAAGTTTTTGTATTTAAGCTATTCTGGTTTTTATTTGCTATGTTTTGTTTGTGCCCACAAGGTTTTCGATGATTTGCCTCAATGGGCTTGTGTTGTTTATCCTGAACATTCGAAATCTCAATCACTGATGAATATTCTTGCAGCTCAATTTTGATTTTTTTTTGTTATTAACTTCACGAAATTTTTGATTTGTAGTAATGGAGATGAATGGAGATGATTCTAGCTTCGAGCAGTGTTACCGTTGTTACCCAGTCACATTCATTGACAAGGTCATATATATTTTTCTGAATATCATATTCTTTGATCTCTCTCTTTGATACATAAAAACATTCTAATTTCAGACATTTTTAAAATGCAGGCACATCTTGAGAACGGTGACAAAAGTAAGTTTCCTCTCTTCCCCTTTGTCTCTAGATAGTTTCTTATACGACATTTCTCTGACATTACTCTGTGATCTTTGTAGTTATAATGCCTCCTTCTGCTCTCAATCGTCTTGGTAAGCCAATTGAAACTTGCATCGATTCTTCTAGCTATCGTTTTAGTTTCTCTTTACTCTTCTTTAACTCTGGTCTCTGAATCTACATTCTCAGCTTCTTTGCATATCGAATACCCAATGCTGTTTCAGCTGAGTAATGAATCTGTTGAGAAGACTACACATTGCGGTGTACTTGAGTTCACCGCAGACGAAGGCCTAGTTTACTTGCCGTATTGGGTATACTTTTTTCCTCTTTCCTACATGTACTTAGTTTCAACATTATTTTTGTCTTTGATCTGATCTTGTCTGTTTTTGTGTATAGATGATGCAAAACATGTCTCTTCAAGAAGGAGATATTGTGAAAATCAAGAATACAAGCTTGGTGAGAGGGACTTTCATCAAGCTGCAACCCCACACACAGAATTTCTTGGACATTACCAACCCAAAAGCCATGTTTGTGCCATTGAAACTGGATCTTGTTTTTTTTGGTATTTTTTTGAAGAGTTCTCTTTCTTACATTACTTTTTTTTCTTGCAGCTTGGAGACGGCACTTAGGAGCTACTCTTGCTTAACCACAGGGGATACAATTATGGTTCCTTATAACAACAAGAAATATTTTATCGATGTGATTGAGGCAAAACCTTCTTCAGCTGTGAGTATTATAGAAACAGACTGTGAGGTTGAGTTTGCTCCTCCTCTTGATTACAAAGAACCTGAGAAGCCACAGATATTGACTCCCTCGAACAAGCGATCTCGCAAAGGTTTTTCTGAGTTTATTCTCTACAGATTATCGATATCGTTTCTTTCTTGAAATAATTGCCTCTAATTTGTATCTATTTTCTCTTTGTTGGTAGTTGCAGTCGAGGAAGAGGAACCAACAAGCAAAGTTCCCAAGTTCACACCTTTTACTGGATCCGGAAAACGTTTGGATGGAAAAACACAAACAAAATCAACTGAGCAAGAAGATACAAAACAACAACAAGAAAAGCCAACTGAAAATGGGAAAGAAGATGAGAAGTTGACAAGCACCACGCCACGGCAAAAATCAGGAAAGCTTGTCTTTGGCTCAAACAGCAAAACAACTGCGAAAGAAACTGTAAAGGTAATGTCTCTTCTCTTGTTTTTTTTCCATTCATGTGATCCATATCAGTCATCCTTTAATCCATTGTAAAGATAACTTAATTGTCTTGTATATGTCTTCTAAATGTATAGGTTGATTCAAAGAACATCGAGCAAGAGTCTTCGACAAAATCCGATGAAGCTAAGTTTAAAGTGTTCACGGGGAAGAAATACTCACTCAAGGGTTAAGAAAAAAAACAGGGTTTAATCATAAGTTGAAGAAATTTTATTTGTTTTAAGCATTCATTCATATATTATCTCACCAATTTCTTGGAAGAGCTTGGATGGACAGGATCACACAAGATGTGTCTGAAAGTTCTGGCTTCTCAAGAAGCATCATTTTAGGTTGTTTATATGTTCCTGTCGGTTACAATTTGAGACCAAAAATGAACAAAACTCAGATACTTCGAACAGGGAATTTTTTAGGGGGTTTTCAATTAATATTATCGAGATCATTACAATCATGATGTTATCACAAATATTACAAGTTTTTTTCGTAGTGAATTTTCCAATGTTTTGTAAAAATGTAGGAAGGTAGTAATAACATTATCATCAGCCATTTATTACAACAAAAACAAACTAAAGCAGTAGAAAAAAAATCTTATTAGAGGGAATAATTTTAAAAAATATTATTCATTGTTAACAAGTTCCCCCACAACTAAAAACAGTGCTTTTCTTTTTCATTTTTTTTCGTAATTGTGTTATCGCCTTCTTAATTAAATTTACAATTGTAACATTCAAGTCACTCTCTCTTACGTCGGAACAACCTGCGGCTCAAGCGGCGGAGGAGCTCCTTCATCAACCACAGGCGTAACCGTCGTGGTCGTCTCCTCCTTCTCACTCTCTTCAAAACCAGACTTAAACCGGTCATAATTAGTCACCTCGGCCGATTTAAACGGACGTTCACCCAAAACTTTCAAAAGATCGTCTTGATGCAACACTTCTTTCTCAAGCAAAAGCTCAGCGATCTGAGCCACTTGCTCCTTGTGCTCTTCGATCAGCTCCACGGTCTTCTCGTAAGCTTTGCTCACCCAGTCCCTAACCTCCTCGTCTATGATCGCACCGGTTTTGTTGCTATACGGTTTAGAGAAGTCGTACCCATCGTCTCTCGGAGGAAACGAGAGTAGCCCGACCTTGTCGCTGAAACCGTACACGGCTACTTGCGCGTACGTCATTTTCGTCACTTTCTCTAGATCGTTCTGCGCACCCGTCGAGATCCTCCCTATCAATACCTGCGTCGCAAAAGAACAAGAAAACTTTTAACTTCTTGAACAGAAAAAAAAAAAAAATTACTATCAGGACACGAACAGGAAACAAGATTACTATCAGGACACGAACAGCAAACGAGATTACTATCAGGACAAGAACAGGAAACAAGATTACGAACAGGAAACAAGATTACTATCAGGACACGAAAAGAAAACAAGATTACTATCAGGACACGAACTTATAACTTCTTGACCAGAAACAAGATTACTATCAGTACACGAACAGAAATCAAGATTAGTATCAGGACACGAACTAATAAATTCTTGACCAGAAAACAAAATTACTATCAGGACACGAACAGAAAGCAAGATTACTATCAGGACACGAACAGAAATCAAGATTAGTATCAGGACACGAACTAATAAATTCTTGACCAGAAAACAATATTACTATCAGGACACGAACAGAAAGCAAGATTACTATCAGGACACGAACAGGAAACAAGATTACTATCAGGACACGAACAGATAACAAGATTACTATCAGGACACGAACAGAGAAAACAAGATTACTATCAGGACAAGAACAGAAACTCGCATAACGAGAAAAATCTCGTTTTGTGTTTACCTGCTCGGCTGCACGGCCACCAAGGGTCATGCAAGTCATGTCGAAGAGTTGTTCTTTGGTCATGAGAAGGTTCTCATTTGGCACGTATTGCGCAAAACCGAGCGCCGCTGTGCCACGTGGCACGATGGTCACCTTCAGCAATGGCTCTGCGTGTTCCAAGAACCAACCAGCAACCGCGTGGCCCGATTCGTGGTATGCAACTGTACGACGCTCCAATTTGCTTATCACCTATGTTCATAATCAAAACATTCAAATTCTCATTTTCTCAATCTTTTTGGTAAAAGCAGAGCAGAGCAGAACAGATTTACCCTGTTTTTCTTCTCAAGACCACCAATAACACGATCAATCGCAGACTCAAAGTGTGCCATAGTAACCGTAGCTCCTCCTTGTCTAGCAGCGATAAGAGCCGCTTCGTTACATACATTCGCAATATCAGCTCCGGCGAATCCCGGGGTAAGAGCCGAGAGTCTCTGAGAGTAATACGACGGCTCATGATCAAGTTTAATCTTCTTCAAGTAAATCTGAAAAATCTGATCACGGCCTTTGATATCCGGTTTATCAATGGTTATCTGACGATCAAACCGGCCAGGACGTAACAAAGCTTTATCCAAAATATCCGGTCTGTTGGTCCCAGCAAGAACCACAACACCAGCGGTTGTACCAAAACCGTCCATTTCAACTAGCAGCTGGTTCAGTGTGCTTTCACGCTCATCGTTACCACCTAAACCACCACGTCCTCTTGCCCGACCAATCGCGTCGATCTCGTCTATGAATATAATGCTTGGTGCAGATTGTCTAGCTTCTTGGAACAAATGTCTTACCCTCGAAGGTCCAACACCAACAAACATCTCCATGAAATCTGAACCGGAGATGGAAAGAAATGGCACACCTGATTCCCCTGCAGTAGCTTTTGCTAAAAGGGTCTTTCCGGTTCCAGGAGGACCGACTAAAAGTGCTCCTTTTGGGATCTTAGCACCCAAATCTTCATACTTTTTAGGGTTCTTGAGGAAATGTACAAACTCCATGATTTCTTGCTTAGCCTCATCACATCCAGCAACATCCTTAAAGTAAATCTGGCAAAGAAAACAACTTTTCAGTTTTTCAATTCCAATACGATCATAAGAAGAAGAAAAAAGGCAAAATTCTAACCTTGTTCTTGGAATTTTTATCTGCTCTCGTTATTGTGGCTTTGCCTATATTGAAGATTCCACGACCATTCTTCCCGCCGGTTCCTCCTACACCTAATCCGCCTTGCATCCGTCTCGCACCATAGATAAGAGTACCCAAGAGCAGTATAGTCGGTGCAAACCTCATGAACTCTTGATACCAGACCATTTCAGAGACATAGGTGACAGGAACAAACTCGTGAGGATCAACGCCTAACGCTTCTTGAGCTTCTTCGAGCTTCTCCTCAAAAGAGTCGACACTACCGATGTTGAAGTAGTACTTATACTGACCACCAGTTTTTTTCACGGGAATTCTGCTACCATCGCCTTGGACAACAACGTCTTGAGTTGTTTGTTGGCTTCTCGGTGTGCTCCTTACATAGACTTTCGCCACAGATTTGTTTGAAACATCTATGTGGTCAACGAGACCAGGCTCGAGAAGCTTGTTTTTGAACTCCTGGAAACTAATCTGTAAACAAACAGGATATTAGTGAGAAGCATACGGGGACCAAATTAGCAATTCCGTAGACAAGATGATTTTAGCGTAGAGATCCAAGAATGTCACAAAGTTTAGTTTAAGTAAAGCTTGCCTGTTGCTGGTCTCCAGAGCCAAAAGAGAAAGAAGAGAAGAAGACAGCAAGAGCCAGCAGAGGAATAAGCAAATTTTGGAATCGATTCATGAACATATCTCCCAAGTTCTCACTTTCATTTTTGTCTGAACCCTCTGTATTGCAACAAAAACATATTCAATTATTAGAATCCTTCAGTAGCACCAACAGGTCTCAAAACAAGAAAAGTGAAAGAAAACAACTGATGCTATTTGATACACAAAATATTGACCATAACTTCTAGAAAGCTAAGTTATTTATATCGATGAGAAACCAGACTGCAGTTAAAGGAGAAAAAATGGCGAAAATATGATTCGAACTTCCATTAAGTCCCAAAACAATCAATAGATCTCCGAATTTTGAACACATCAGTAAATGGCTATTTCTCTGTGGAGTAACAAGAGACGTCTCAGATCATTTCCACTGCAACATATTTATTAATAACACTTAATGATTAACCATCTCGATGACAAATTCAACAATCCCACAAACAGAATTCAGCAGTCTATTCACTTGCCTCCGGAAACCGAAAGCATATATCACTAGTTAAAAGGACGTAACACCAAAGAGAATAATCGCTACCTCGGTATAAATTGATAAACCATCATCATCCTTATTGGTACTAAAAGGTATGGACAGATTCAACAGTCCCACAAACAAAACTCAGTGGTCTATTAACTTTCCTCCGCAACCACTGTTCGTACTTTGTATTCACATTTTCGCATAATGAAGAAATGGAATATGTTACGAGTTATGGGATCACAAACAAATGAAAAGCCAAAAGCTCTTGACATTAGTTGGAAAAAATCATCACACCAAACACCAAAGAGAAAGAAAGCTCAAAGCTTTTTTCAAACCTCCAAAGAAATTGAAAATCCTAAATCAGAAAATCCTAAATCTGTTTTCACCTTTAGATTCGGATTTCTGGTCACTCTTGGGTTCTTGCTTTGTATCTTTTGGAAAGTAGTTCTCATAATCTGCAAAAATCGAATAAAATGCATACAACAAAAACACTAATGAGAACACACTTCGAATAAAGTAAGAGCACCTGAATTAAAATAAATTTAGGGGTTTTTGCAACATACTCTTCTTCTTGGGGGCTTCGTCGGAGAAGAATCGACGAATTCTTGGATTAGCGAAAACACCGGTCAAATCATTGTTGACAAGACCCTTTCCACCAGTTAACGAAGCAAAGTGCCGCCTCAGAAACCCTAAACCACCACCGTCCACTTGATTAACCGACGCCGCTTCAATAGCCGGCGAAGCAAGCAGCCTCGCCCATCTCACACCACCACCGTACAGCAACCCCTAATTTCACCCAATAACGAAAATCAGGAGAAATTAAAACAAAAACACAAATTTACGAATCTGAGAACAAATCAACGGATTTGAAACGAACCCTTGAACGAGAGGATTGAATAACGGAGCGACCAAGCTTGGAGAAGATCATTTTCATTAAGGAATCACTAAGAACAAAAGGGGTTTCGCATGGGAATCGAAGATCTGAGTGAGCTAGAAGAGGGAAAAATATCAACTTTTTTTTTCTTTTTTCTCAAGTTTTCGGATTATAAAATCAAATGGGAAGAATTAAAAAAAAAACAAACAAACAAGATAGGAAGGAATTAGGGTTTCTGATGCCAAAGGAGGATAAAGTTTGGGTTTTTTTAATCTTTTTCTAATCTCTTGTTCGATGGAGACATAAATATGCAAATAGAGGTTTATGAACTGCTTGGCAGACAAGACATACGCGTTCTGTACTTCTTGTTGTTTGTTTATTCTGTGGAATGGATTATGTTGAACCGGTTTTTTGACTTCCAGGATCCACTTGTGTTTACCGGTTTAAACAAACTGGTTCTTTGGTTTTCGTATCTCAAACCGATTTTTTTTTTTTTTTTTTTAAACCTCCATAGATATATATAATTTTAAAAGTTTCCATACATCTGCACGCAGAGCCAAAAAATATTAGAAATATTAGAACAACAGCAGATATGAGCAGCAAAACAATACATAAGATCAGAGGCCATAAGCTATGAGTGAGGAATCGGTTGGAGCGAAGCCGTGACACTTGAGAGCCCATCACTCTGGAATAATGAGAACCAAGTGGATAGATATGAAGGAGCTTCAGGGTCGATCCGTTGGGCGCGTGAAAGTGAGTCAAGACGAGCTCGAAGCTGCTGTTGGATCTCAACGCATATAGAAGAGGCAGGTCGTGAGGTTGCAGAATGGAGCCTAGAGTTTCTCTCCTTCCAAATCGCGTACATAGAGGCTTGGAAGCAGAGACGAAGAATAATGGAGACTATCTCATCTGGGACTGGACGCTTTAACCAAACAAGAATGTCGTTGAATAAAACCGGTGGAGAGACGCCAATATAGCTGCAAAAGAAGAGCCATACTTGAGAGGAGAAACCACAGTCAAAGAACAAATGCTGTCTAGTTTCATCGTGGTCGTCGCACAGTAGGCATGTCGTCGGGACATTGAGACCCCAGCTGACTAAACGATCCCTCGTGGTCAACCTGTCACGCGCGGAAACCCATGAGATGAAGGCGCGCTTGGGGATACATCCCTTAAACCAAACCTCAGTATGCCAGGGGACCTCGACGGATGTCGGGTATAAAGCCAACCATGTCTCCGACGAAGAGAAAGACATTTTGGCCTGCGATACCCCCGTCTTCCACAAATAAATATCATCCACTTCAGAGCTAATGATCGAGGAAGAAGAGGGCATGCATTGCCTGAGCAAAGAGATAATAGGACTCCTGCTTCTAGACGCAGCGATCCACCAATCCCCATTTGATATAGCGTCTGCAACTACTGCGTTTATAGGCAAACCAGACACCCTCGGCCCACTGTCCCCGGTAATGTCGATTAGCGGACCCAGAGAAGTCCGATTTTTAAAGAGAAGATCGGTGTTGGGGCTTCTTCTTGTTTAACTGATAAGTATTCTTTGAGTTTGATAAACAATTTTCTCCTCACAACTTAAAACTATTCGAGTTTCAAAATTCTCTCACCACCTCTAACTTTTCTTTTTAATAGAAAACAAAAAACTGTAATCCAATGGTTTAGATTAGTCATAGGGTTTAGATTCCTCTTTGTAAACCAAACCATACTTTGTCCAGCATGTACATTAGTGAACCCCTTCATGGGGTTCACCAGAATTTTATATTAATTTTTTTTGCAATTATGAACAGTAATGAACTTGTTATTATTTTGATCCTCCATTAAAGAATTCCATTTAAGGGTTCTTTAAAATAAAATGCTGGGACTTAAAAGATCTATGTGTAGCACATACAAAGTTTAATATTTCAGGAAGAAGAAGAAGCCAAGATATCACAAGGACACAAAAACAACACAAGAGACACAGATATGCTGGAACGTAAATGTGAAGTTGTTTACAATCAAACTTCTTTTGACCCAAAAGCGATCGGAATCAAATACGATTGCAAAATTAACAAAGAGATCCAGGTAAGAACAAGTCGAGCCATAATCGGATCCACCGATTGACGCTGGAGTCGGTGACTGACTTGTATTAACGGGGATCGAGCATTACAGAGTAGGTCGTTGACCTCTGGCGAGGATAAATGCGTTTGACCCCTCGAGTAATTTTTTCTCTGCAAAATTATGCTTGTTTCACGCCCAATCTGCGTTCGCCACGTGTTTCGGATTCGAGTTCTTCAGGGTCGACGGGAAGGATCGGTTCCTCAGAATTGGGCTTTTTTTTTTTTTTTAAACCCAATATACCTATGAACCTGTGCCAAAAAAAACTGACGACCCCCTAATGGACCTGCTCTAACAACCCTTCGTAGTTTGTACACATATATATATCTTGGCGAGTTCCATGGCTCAAAAAACATTTTCAACTTCTAGATTTAAGTTATTAAAGCACATACCCAATAAAATAAAATTAAAAATAAAGAACATGTTCTTCATATGAAAGACAAGATAAAAACAAACTCCCAATTCATGCAAAAAGAACGACGCATATACCATTAAACCGAAGCAAAAAGAACAAAAACAGCATGTCAAAACAAAAAGAAAGACGCATATACCATTAAATCGGAACGGCTAAACAACAGAAGGATTTGTATGCTTCGACAGGAAATGTAAACGCATCGACACAATCAACCTTACCCCAAACCTCACATCCATTGCATCTTGATTCTAAAGAAATCTTGGCATATCGGATTTTGTTTTTCCGTTTGTCATCACAAACATCCCACATGAACAAAAGCTTCCCATCATAGTCAGCCATCTCAAAAACCCTCCCACTCTTGTGCTCAAGCAATTTTCCCAAACCCTTGATCTCTCTCCATTCTTCACCCTGGGTTTTAGAGGCCAACCACATTAATTTCCCGTGGAAAGTGCAACCGTATATCACAGTATCTATCTTCAACCAAATCGCTATGGAATGTAACGTGATACTCGATTTCTCTCTTACTTCCATGTACCATCTTTCAGCTCGTGAGTATACTCCTTTCGGCCTACCACTACGTGAATCTTTCCTTCAAACACACTAATCAAACTGCAATAAGAACTATGACTGAAAATATTTCGTAATTCGCCACGAGGACCTGGCAAGACTGTCCAAGACTGAGTCTTCACGTCAAACACCTCGAACCAATCATCAATCTTGCAACCTCCCGTCACATATATTTTCTCATCGATGACAACCGCACACGCATCTTCCCGAGCCACGGTCATGTTTGGGGCATCACGCCACGTGTGACTACGACAATCAAGGATCCGAACAGCGGAAGACGGCTCCATGCAGACTCCACCGATTATGTAGATCTCCGAACCAACCCTTATGGTGGAATTATTTCTTATGTGAGGAGAATCAGAATAAGCAAAAAATGTCGGAACAACCGAGTTTCCACTTGGATCCTGCTTAAACCTAATCTCCCCACTCTGTTTGGTTGGGGTTTGATTAGGTTTAGCCCAAAGACTAAACCACCTCGGATATGGCTGGTTGTGTAACTGTAAACAGACATAGAAGCATGTTTCGTCGGCTCCAATTTCAGATCGCGTCTTATAGATTTCCATAGAAGATAAGAGAGAGCAGAATTTCTTTGAGACAAGAGAAAGCGACGGATAGTTCCATCTCGAAACACGTGCAAGAATGTTTTCAGTGATTTCGTCTGGAAGTAAAGAAAACGACGATGATGACTGAGGGATTTTTTTCTGCGTTGGTTCGACTTCTTCGGAGACCATGGTCGGCCGAATCTAGAGTAGAGAGGCTGTGTAGAGGAAGGATTAATAAAATTTTAGGGTTAACTACACACGATTATATAGGTGTTTAGGAAAACATTGATGTAACTATTACTAATAAAAAATTTTGATTTTAAACGACCAATAAAACGCAGCTATAGCCTATAGGCTTCTAAAGTGTTTGCATAGGATTTTAAACGACTAACAAAAACTTTTCACATCAACATCCAAAATTGAAAAAAAAAATTAAAAAATTCTAATTTATAAAATTTAATATTGTTAACAAAAAAATAGGAAATAACTAAATAAGGAAGTTACATATAAATTTATATTTATTAACACAAGTTCATTAATATTAGATTATAAAAAAATCTTGATTTGAGATGATAGTTTTAATTGTATAAAAACTATATACATATCTTAAAATAAATAGTAGAATAATTATTTAACGTATAATATTTATATACGCATACTTTAAAAACCACTTACTACAGAATAATTTTACCATCATTCTTTACTACAACAAGGATATACCTGTATAAAGCTAAATTATTTGATACCTGTATAAAGGATATTCTTCATAGGATTTTAAATATATTAGCATCTAAATTTAATTTTTAAAATAGAAATGACCACAAACTAGCAAAAGTTTAACTTATTAATAAGCATATCTAAATAAATATACTAATTACCTCTTTCCTTTTGTATGTAGGACACCATTTTTGCTCCTAGTGGCCTGAATTTCTCTTCTGGATACAAAATAAGTTAAGACAACATACAAAATTTATATGAAACAATAGATAACTTCTGGAATAATATCAGCTTTGAGCCTCATTACCTTTTGATCCATCAAGAAATTGTGAGGCTTAATATTCCTATTATGACACCAGAAAAGTAGTAAGACCGGAGATCTCTCTTGTAACAGGGGAAAACCAGAGAAAAAAATTTACTTGTGCAACACTCCTTGGCCATGGCAGAATGCCATTCCTTTGCATAGTTGTTGGTTTGGAATAATTACAGAATGGTGCATTTGGTTCAATGGACTATGATCAAGTGAGCACATATGAAATGAGAGAAAGATGACAATGACAAAAAAAAAAAGGCTCAAGTCGTCCAAACCTTGACTTGGTTGGAAAAATTCCTTCCAGTTTGACGGAAACTTCTGATGTATTTCTTGAAATCAGCGTCCATGTACTCAAAAACCACGTAAAATGGCTTCTTGTTACTGATAGCATTAAGAAATAACTCACTAGAGACAGTAGAGTATAATAGGAATGTAGCTAACATGGAGCACACACACATTTAATCATGCTACAGTACGCATTAAAGAGGAAACCATCGTATGGAATGCTAAATAATGTACTAAAGAAAGAATTACACACTGCAAAAGATTACCAAGTTGTGTACTTTTGGCTCTTATATTTTTTTTTGTTAGGGATTCTTTTGTTTCGAGTGTTGAGTTTGGTTTTTTATGTGTTGCTCGTTTTTTATGCTATATTTATTTTTGTTGCGTTTTAGCAGTGCTGTCTCTTAATTTTGAGTGGCTTAAAAGCAGTTCCAACAGAGTCTCAAGAGAGGATCGTCTGTAGGCCCGAGGAGTTGATTTGCAAATTTTAAAATTTTAAAGCTCAATTTCCTCGACGTATCAGTCTGTCTCATGGGAGGTTGTTCGGTGACGTGGCGGTTCCTGATTCGCTGCATTTTAGGAAGGGGCAAAAAAGGTTTAGTGGTGGGCTAAGCTTTGCTGTTTCATCGTCTCTCCTTTTATTCTTGCTTATATACCACTTAATCAAAACAGAGTATCAAGATTGGAGGGATAAATTATAGAAGGGTTATTCACTATGTAAAAAAATAAAATAATAAAAAAAAAACCTGAAAATCTCCAAAAATGATTTTAAGGTTGGAGATGGTCTAACACGAGATGCTCAGAGACTCTTCGGTGGGTTCGAGGGACTTATTTGCAATTTAAAAAAATGAGAAGCTCAATATCCGTCTCTTGCAGAAGAGACGCAAGATACCGGAGAGACCGTCTCATGAGAAGATGTTCGATGACGTGGCGGCTCGCGATTGGTTGAATTTTTGGAGGAGAGACTTTATTTTTCGTGTATCATTTCATTTTTCGCGATACAAGTGTTTTCTTTTCTTTTCTCTTCACCGACGACGCCATTCTCCGGTGAGATTCTCTGCTGAGGCGACGAATCGGTTCACCGTCTCTGACACGACGAGCAACGTAAGAAATCCGAACCCATATGCATTTGTAAACGATTAAAGACGTACATGTCTCTCTCACTTCTCTCACTCCTTTAGTCCTTTTAAAGTTTTTGTGATCAGAACTAACCAAGAAGCTCCCTTCGTCGATACAATCGATAATTAGGTGATTTCTCGGATCATAATTATTTTTTGGGAGTTCTGGATTGTTGATTTTCTTTGGGTTTGTTATGTATCTAATTTCATTTCCTAGTGATGAAACCAGTGTTTGAGTGATGTTTCAATTACTACTTGTTTCTCTCCGATTTTGACTTTAGTGTATGGGTATATTAGCAGAAGAGATGGGTTCTGCGAACAAAGAGTACGAGTTTCTGAGTGAGATTGGGTTGAGTTCTCACAACCTCGGAAGTTACGTTGGTGGCAAATGGCAAGGAAACGGACCCGTTGTCTCTACTCTCAATCCCGCCAACAATCAGGTTCTTACATGATTTTTGAACTTATGTTTGAAGTTTTCTTTTTGTTAGAAGAGAATCGAGAGTGATTGTATCTGTTGATCATATTGGGGCCAATGATTATTGTTCTTGTTGATGAAATACTTTATAAGCTGGATTAGTTTTTTTTCTCCGATTGAATCTTGTTTGATTTTTGTTTCTACCATGTGAACGGTTTTGTTCTGTATTTGCATACTGAAATGCTTCACTATCGACGCAGCCAATTGCTCAAGTTGTTGAAGCTTCTCTAGATAATTACGAGGAAGGTTTGAAAGCTTGCGAGGATGCAGGTAAATGACTGAGTGATTTGCTTAGAACCTTTAAGAAGACTGCACAAAATAACTAACAAATTATAGAATATTTTATCAGGTTCCTGCTCCCAAGAGAGGTGGTATAGTGAGACAAATTGGAGATGCACTCAGATCCAAACTTGACTATCTTGGCCGTCTTCTTTCACTTGAAATGGGGAAGATCCTTGCTGAAGGAATTGGAGAAGTTCATGTATGTTAACTCTGCAAAACTATCTTGGCCGTCTTCTTTCAGGTATGTTAACTCTGCAAAACTTGGTTTCTTTTGCAGGAAGTAATTGACATGTGTGATTTTGCTGTTGGTTTGAGCCGACAACTCAATGGACATGGGTTATCTCTGTTGTGCTTGTTGTGCTTGTTTGTGCGACCGTAGTTATATGGACATGGGATAGAACTCCAACCTCGGCCTTTCTTCCACCTGAAAGTCACTTTCTAAAGCCATTACCATCGTTATCGTTTTGATCATTCTGAAACGTCAAAATTTGATATTTGTGGATTATGGTTTTCTTTGATCATATTTCTAGCACATTCATTGTTTGTATACAGTATACCATAATCATTCTTCCAAAACGCCAAAAAATATTAAGTGTTGTATTTGAATGTTTTTTTATCAAATTTTTTATATTTTGTACTTCTATAAATCATCTCTTCCTATATTAATTTGGTTTTATGTAATATAGTTTATGTAATATTTATTATCTAAATTATCACAATTTGCAAAAAAAATATTTTCGAAAAATATTTTTTTTATTCAGAAAAACTTCAAAAAGGGAATCAGGGTTGGAGGTGTAAAAATAAGAGGAGTTCTTCGCTGTTTTTTTAAAAAGAAATATATTAAAAAAACTAAAAAACCCCAAAGAGGGTCTCAGGATTGGAGATGCCTTAACACTACAAGAAAATATGTGAATTCCCGACCAAGCTTTTGGTCGGAACTAAACAATTTTTTCGATGACTTTCCAAGAAAAAAATTGATCTCAATATGGGCCTCGGAAATAAAATTTGTCAAGTTTGTCAGAAAATATCTGAGAAAATTGTTTATCTGTAAGTTGTCGGAATAAGGTGGTTGGAAATTTCTCGGAAGTTTTCCGAAGAATTTCTAAGAAAATAATAATTTAATAACATTTTGTCGGAAATTTCTCGACAATATTCCGAGAACTTTCTGACAAAATCAATCGGAAAGTCACTGATAACACCGTATTTTGACCACTTTTATGGATCGTTTTGAAATACTTTTTCTATGTTTTTAATTGCTTTTAAGTAATTTTATTACGTTTTTCTAGTATTTGTAGTTCCAAGACTCTTTTTAGGTAACTTTGGGAAAAGCTTAACAAAATGGATAGAAAACCAGATTTCAGCTCAGAGTCACACCGTCAGAAGTTCACCCCTGATTGAAGGTCTTATCACCGTCTGATCCAGCTTAAATTTGGAGATCTTAAAGATGGAAGTATCAGCTTTCCAGCACACTTTACAGCTTGGCAATCCAAATGTTCAATCAAAAGATACGCGAAGAACAAGATGTCCCGTAAACCAGCCGACAAGCGTTTCCACCCGCGGCCAACAGACCAATCCCCGCGGTCACAGCCATCCCGACCGCGGCCAGCCACCCATTTCTCGCGGTCACACTCATCCCGACCGCGGCCAGCTAACTCCAACTTTGAAGGCCCATTTCTGAAGCCCGTATCATTTTCCCAGCCTCAATTCCGGAACCCTAGACACCAGAGAGTATTGGAGACTATAAATACATGTCATTTATGTCGTTTTTCAAGAGAGAAGAAGAGAGACGAAATACTTTACATAAATTTTACTTTAAGCTTTGTTTTTAGGTTTTAGGGAGAGAGAGATCTGTCTCTTGAACCCTTGTTCTTTCTTTTTCAATTTCGGTTTCTATTCTACTTTTTAATACTATGTTTTTGATTTCGTTCATCATGTCTGAGTAATTTTATTGTTGGGTTTAAGGGATTTTCGATGGGGATTTATATGTTCGGTGAGGATTCCATGAGCTTTTGAGCCGAATCTTAGAACTTTTTCTTCTGAATTCGTTTTTACTGCATGAGAGTAGCGTCATGAACTACAATCTGATCCAGATGCTTGGTGACACGAAAGTGTTCATCCGGTGTCAGATCTATTTTGGGAGGGCAAAACAAACATAGGAGTAGAAACCTACCTATGGGCGATTTGTGAATGCTGACGAGTCTTAAACATAATGCATCTCTTCTTTTCCAGGGACAGAGTGGAAACCTACTGGTCAGGGTTACTAGAGATAGTTGTCTATGATCACGATAGTGGCGTATTCATACGTCCGTGACTCCAGTTCGAAAAGTTTAAGCTAAGATCTTATCAAATTTACTCTCTAGCAATGTTTTGAATCGTTCGTACCCCTGAGAAAACTTCCCTGAACCCCAGCGCCTCTTTTCTTATAGATTTACACCGATTTTCATTCAAGCTTTAGTCTAGTATCTTTACTCTTTCAATCGATTTTCACTTAGCAATTAGGTCTAGCCGTTTTTCTCGTTTTTACCCTTTTTCGTTAAGTTTAGTTATTATGTCATTTTAATTCCCGTAGTTTCTCTTTAAAATTCGTTTTTGCATTTTAAACACACCACCAAAACCCTCACAAAACTCGCCTGGTTATAGATTTCCTTACTTTATATTTCTTTCGAAGACTTTTGCAGGAAAGATCCTCTTTCCCTGTGGATTCGATCTCTAAGTACTACAATCGATCAGATGTGTACTTGCGGCTATTGATTTCATTTAGGGTAAAACTTGACAACCCTCGACACACACCACATCAGTCACCAGAATTTTTCTGACAAATTTCTGACCAAATATTATTAAAAAATAAATTTCGAGATGTTTCCGAGGAGAAAAAAAAAACTATTTCATAACAATTTTCAATTAACTACCATTAAAAGATTAATCTTTAAACTACATTTTAAATTTTATAAGAATTTAGAATTCCAAAACAATTTCGAGTTAACAACTATTCTAATGTTACAATTCTATTCTAATGTTAAAAAAGTAAAAAAAAAAAACGAAAACAAAAGGTCATCTCATAATTTATAATAGAACAATTATAACAAAAACACACTTTCCTTACAAAATGATTCGTAGTTGTCTAAGTGGAAGTAGAGAGGAATAGAAGAAAGAGTTGTGAGATTGTTATGGCAAAAGTTGTGAGAGTGCAGAGGGAAAGTTACACAGTTTTATAGGCTAAAATTTGATTTTCTAGAAGTTTCCAGTGACGTTGTCTAGAAACCGTAGATGATATGACTTAACATGTTATTGGAATTTTGTCGGAAACGTTTAGTATTTTCTGAGAAATGTCCTATACAAGTTAGAAAATTGTCATAAATTCGTCGGAAAATTGTTAGAACTATCCCAAGAACTTTACAATAAACTCAACCAGAAAGGTCACCGGAAATTATCCGACGAATTTCTGACAAGATATTAATATACTCTCCCATTCTGAAAATTTTTTGAGGAGAAAAAAACATATATATATATATATATATATATTATCTGGTTCCTACAAATTTCTGACATCATTAACAAATTAATTTTCCATATTACATAATTTTTTCAAATAGTAAGATTTTGGACAATTTTTCAAGAATGTATCTCCATCCCTAAAAATTCCGACAATTTTCCTAAAAGTTTTACGACAAAATTCGAGAAATCTTTTCATCGGAAAATTCCGACTATATTTTGTGAGAATTTTGGCAAAATTCTGAGAAAATTTTATGTCGAAAAATCCGATGAAAAGATTCGAAGGAAGTTTTTTACAAATTTTTGAAAAAATTATAGTCGTCAGTTTGGAAATTTCAAAAATTATAGTCGGAATTTTCCAACCACATTTTTTGTTGAAAAGTTTTGTCAGAAAGTTTTATCGGAAATATACATGTTTTCTTGTAGTATAAAGCATATTTGAAAAATACATGTGGCCTTATATATAAATACTTCAAATCATTGAATATGGTTAAATCATGGTTTGTGGATTCTTAGACTTGGAACTTTTAAGTAACGATGTCGAGAGTTTTACATTTTGTAAAGATTTATATACAGATTTAAGTTTAATTTATAAAGAAAGATAAAAAAGATTGTTTCTATTATTGTCCTAAAATAAATTTATAAAAATTAGAAATTGCATAAGAAAAAATAAGGAAATATGAAATACGGGAAAAAACGCATTGCCAAGGAATTATATAAGAAGATATACAAGAAAGGCTTCGCACAAGACATTGCTGACTCAAAATCAAAATGGTTAACCATTACACCAAACTAAAATTTCTTAAGATGCAGCCCAAAAAGTTTAAACATATATATTGTGGCTTGAAGCGAGTGCTTCACTTGCTTTATAGTAGGGACGGGTCTGCATTTTAGTGTGTTTAGCGCATTTATTATGTTTTGATGTGTGTTGAAATTTTGTTATGCTTAAGTGTGGTTTGAGTTTTTGTGCTTCATGGTTTAATTGTGCTTGAGCGTGTTTTCAGATGGTGTGAGAAACCCAGAATGAGTTATACAGATAGTTACGTTATGTTATCTTTCACGAGTTTGCAACTCAAAAGGACGAAGTAAAAGACACGAGAAGAAAACAAAGAGAGATTTTTTTATTTACCTCTGAGTCTCTGACCCATTTGCACCTAAACTTGTGTCTTTTTGCTGCTTAAGAACCTATGGATGAACCAAGAAAGACGAAGAGCGTTTATTTTATTTACTTGACCCCTCATTTACTTCCTCAAACATATGCATGAAGCAAGAAACATGAGAAGTGCAAAGAGAGTTTGTTTATTTACCAGACTCTTCAATTTTTCCGTTGCTGCGAGATTTGATGCTAGTCTTTTGTTTTCTACTGAAGGATCTCCTCTGTTTATAAGAAACTAGGAGCAGGGTTATTATGAAACAAATTGAAAACACAGAACAATAAAATAAAAGTACATAATGAATGCGAAGAATGAACTTACTACAGATTTTACAGAGCTACTCCATGTCGAGATTGACCTTTTCCTCTATTTATCAAGTATGATCTGAACCAGTTTTTGATATGTTGGATTTCTCCTCTGTTTAATAAATAGATGAAAAGAAATTGAAAAGTTTAACTTAAAACTGGTAAAGCAACATCTAAATAAATATACTAATCACCTCTTTCTTTTGGACACCATTTTCGCTTCTAGTGGCCTGAATTTCTCTATTGGATACAAAAATAGTTAAGACAACACACAAATTAATATGAAACAATAATTTCTTTTGTCCCTGTAAACTTCCTAAAATGGCTTCTAGTTACTAATAGCATTAAATATAAAGTATAAGAGGAATAACGTCTAAGATGAATGTAGCTAATCTAGAACACTATATTACGCATTAAAGAGGAAACAATCGTATGGAATGCTAAATAATGTACTACAGAAAGCATCTACACACCGCAAAAGAATACCAACTGGTATACGTTAGCTCGCATCGTTGTGGTCCAGTGGTAGGGAAGGGTTGTGTGGGGTGTTACACCACTTCACCCAGGTTCGATCCTCCCTTGAAACAAAAACATAAATATGTGGAAAGTTTGGGTTTGGACCAAAAGGCCCAAGCAGTTTGCAGTTTGGTGTTGTATTTTAGTTCTTT